CGTCCCACGCGCCCCCTCCCCCTCCCCCTATTTACGCCCCTGTTTGTTGGCATAGAAAAGGGTAGTGTGAAAAATGAAGTGATTATATTTGCTGATCGACAATATTTTCTTTCATATCTATAAAAATCTGTAAAGGAGTATAATTGTTGGAAAGTTGAATCTCCAAAAAGTTTGATTCTTTAATAAACACGTTCCAAATTGATCAGTTGAGAAATTTTTCTATACGAATTGTTTTGTAATTCATTATTTTTCCGAATGAGTCTTATTGTGCCCTAGAAATATAGCTTTATATATATATCGTTTAGAATATTTTCTGCATTTATTTATTTTTACTCGAATAGAAGTCCACCTGAATGCTATCCATTTATCTCCTAGACTACTTCTCAGTAACAAACAAATAAAGTAAAAGCTATTTTCATTATTCTCACTTTTTATTTAATATTGTTATTCAAATGATTTGTAATCATTCTTTCTCATTCTAATTACTTATTTTTTAAGGTGTCAAATCAATGTTGTATTTACATCTATAAGAGTTGATTAGTCTCTAAAAGGTGTTAAAACACACGTTTGAATAAGTCGAAGAGAAAACGAGAGACAACTTTAAAAAGATGAAACACATTATTTGACAACGGTGTGAACTTTTATCACTCTGATTTAATTCAAGTGATCAACATAATATTATGTAAAGCTCATAGTCAAACGTATTGTCTCATCAAGCAAGTGTTTTACGATGGAATAGAATATGATTAATTTATAATTTCAAAAGGATGAAAATATCAGTATTACATCGATGAAACGTGCTCATATTTAAGGAAATATCAAAATATGATGTTCTGATCTGATAATATGCATGCATGTATGATGAATTAAATCGATGTCATGGCGGTGAATGCACGTGAGAGATTACGAAGACGAATATGTGTGAATCTTCTTTTTCATTTCGTCACGGATTGATACACACATAAATATCTATATATCGATAGTTTCATCAAAACAGATACTAATTGGCATGCTGAGATCATTCTTTGGAAAAAAAGGATTTTTTTCCAATACTGACTTTGATGAAAGAAAATTGCTTTATTCTAACCAAATACTCATAGGTGCCGATCTTTGTTTCTAGTTTTACTAATCTGCATTTTCTCTATGTAAAGCTACAGTATGAAAATAATAGCTATGAATTACTTCAACTGATCTTTAAATAATAATTTAAGTACCAGCATTGATAAGATTTCATGTGCACTTTCAATTGATCTCAGTTGTTGTTTTTTCGTTTTACACGTCATAGTTGTTTCTTATTGGTTACTTACATTTTTTTATTTCTACTTAAGCTAATCAGGAACGCGAATTCGACTGTTCATAATGAGTACAGAAAAGAGAAAAACTAGAAATCAATCCCAAATTTTTAATCAGCATCAAGAAAACAGTGGCATATATCCACATTTGTGAAATGAAGTTTCTACTCCATTTGACTTGATACAATATTCGATTATAGAACTTCATTGTGAGTGAATCGAAGACTGTTCTACTTTGCCATAATATTTTCTATTTCATTCGAAAACATTGAGAAAATACTATTTTGGTAGAAATTCTTTTCTTATGTTACCTGTATTCTTAAAAAATCCAATTACAATGTGTCTTCAATCAAATTCTTTATCTAATTCAGCTATCTCATTAAATAATACAGAAATTGATACTTTAATTAATATTTATTCATCAACACAAAATTTACACATGCAACCAATAGATTTTCATGAATACGATTCATTACATCGAAGTACCCCAATTATTTATGATTTACTGGATTTTCAAAAATATCAAAATACTAATCGCGATGTGAAACGAACCATAATTACATCAAAACAACGTTTTAATTTCGCTAAATTAGCCGATGAAGTGATTAAAGATAAAGAAGATATTTCGAATTCGTCATTATCATTTGATGCTAGTCATTTATCAACACCATCACCTCAATCGGTTCCAGCTGCAATTACTAGCAGTCTTTCTTTACTTGCTTCTACTAGCCATTCGTAAGTACTATTCAATATCTTTCACGATAATTCGTGAAAGGCATATTTTTTAAAATTTCCGCTTCTCTCAACGCTAGTTAGAATCTCAGTAGTAATTCGAATGGAGAATTTCTCTTCCAAATAGAACTTTTGAAGTTATCAATGAAATTACAATGTATGAATGTACCATTGAAAAACTATAGTTATCAATATTTTCGTCTATAAGTCTTTCTTTAAATAAAATCCGCTACATCAAATTTTCCAGCATTCCTATCGGTGCAGAGAATAATGCGAAAAATTCAATTTTTGAAACTAGATAATTCTAGGATCCAAGATAAACAGCACAATAAGATGTAATCCTTAAAATTTTGTTATTGAATATTACCTTGGCTTTTTGTGTTTTCTTCTAGTAATCAAAATAGAGACACAACAAATGATTCTGTATTAACGAAAAATCAAAATATTTCGAGTAAACTATCGGAAAGCTCATATCTGTCAATTCACAATATCGATACAATAAAACAGTAAGTACTCTTTGCTTTCAGCTAAACTATATACTTATCCAAAAAGAAAGACATTTCAGCAAAAAAAGATTAAAAGAACATGCATGTCATTATTGTAATCGACATTTTACGAAATCATATAATTTATTGATTCATGTACGAACACATACTGATGAAAGACCATTTACATGTGACATATGTTCGAAATCATTTCGACGGCAAGATCATTTGAGAGATCATAAGTAAGTTTTATTTTCTTTAACAATTAAAAATTCTCTTCGTTTCCTTATTTTATTCAATTAGATATACTCATTCAATAGGTAAATGAAAATTTGTACAATGAAAGATCGAACTAGCCTGTTTTTTTTCCACAGATAAACCGTATCAATGTTTAGACTGTGGTAAAAGTTTTTGTCAATCTCGAACACTCGCTAATCATAAATCAACAATACATAAACCACTTCTTTGCTTCAAGTTTTGATCTGAAAGACTGAAGCTGTCGAATACTTCTATAATGGCTATTCATTTCAGATAAACACCAATGTCAAATCAAGTCTGCCGCTTTTTCGATTGCTAGCCCATGCGATTATTAACACGGCAACAAAAAACTCATATTTATAATAAAATGTATTTTTCTGCTTATCGGCAATATATAAAATCGGTTCTATCCTATCATTAGAATAATAAAGCAATACCATCAGAATCTCATAACAGGCGTTAGATTACCTTGAATTTGATAGAAAATGAAAATGTCGAAAACTAATAATGATACTAAAAATTTTGAGAAGTAAATCTATTGACAATCATATTTTATGAAAGTTGAAATCTCCACCCTTCACTTTGCTTTTGACTAAATTCAAGATTATCATTCTAACGTTGAAAAATTTAAGATAAAAATTTGTTAAGTGCTCTTTATCAATACTGAATTTAAAAAGTCTACGCAGATTATTAGTATTCAATATTGTTGTTAATAGTTTATTTAATTAAGTGAACTACTTTAAAATTAGAGTATTGAAAATAATATTTTTATATAATTTCTACTGTAGGTAATGTGCATTCACGTTGTTTAATACGTAATAATTGATAATGAATATTAACAAAATGTCTAGTAAATTTCATAAGTTCATCAAAATCTTTGTCATTTCCAATTCGATCAAGTAATTGATGAACATAAAATTCATCAAGAACATGCATAGATAATGGATGTACATTGTGAAATGTCTTTGGTTCCAAATCAGCATAGAACTCATTTTTTCCATTATCTCTCAGTGTCTGTTCTGGATTCTGTTTCCAAAACCCAGAAATTGCTGTTGATTTTATACCCATAGAATGAGCAAGACAATTCAGAGCAGCTAAGCAAATTAATGTAAAACATATATTACAAATAACGAATAGTTTTTCTTACCATCAGCATGTTCCTTGTCTTCTGTCAATGGCCAATCATTGTTAAAATGAGAATTTAATTTAGGCACTATTAATTTCATCATTTGAGTACTTAGATAAAAGCCTGGATCACTCGATGAATAAGAAATAGTATAGTTAACTAAATTTCTTTTAATATAACATTTATGTTTTTCAGTAAAACCACCAATAATTAAAGGTTGTTTATAATCGAATGAGTCAAGACGTTTTAATAAATGTGGAACATTAACAAACGTATCACAACTTGTGACAAAATAAAATTTAGCTGTACCATTATGCTTTTTGTATGCTATTTCAAGCCCATTGTAGACTTTCTTAATATTAGATGAACGAGCTTTTCTTGTTCCATCAATAACAGTTACAGGTAATGATGAATATGGTGTTTCACTGAAAAAATATTTATGAGTAACACGTGATGCCCATGTATCTCGAACTGCTGTTGCACGTGTATGATAAAAAGAAGCACTGGTGTGTATAATAAAAACAATATCACTTTCGACATAGCGACTAGCAGGAATCCATTTACTACGAGGAACAGGCACAATATCACAGTATACTAGAAAAATATAGAAATCATTTGCAATAAATCAATAAATAAATCAATAAATAAATATTCGCTTACGACGAAGAATATTCAATTGATGATCGTCTAATTCTGAAGTAAAATTTACTACTCGTCTTCCATCGTTTTTTCTTATACGATCACAAATAAAGCTTTTATTTTCAATACGAGATACATGTTGCATCTCTTGTTGTTCAAGATTTAAGATAATTTTATCATTTATTTTTATAGGTTGAATCCATGTTGCAGGAATTATATTTGTAATGGACAAACGAGAAAAATTCGATAAAACTAAATATGTTATACAGAGAAACCCTATACAAATAGAAAGTGTTTGAACTGGTAAAAGCGATCGATGATTGAAAAAAAGTGTTGAGATCCATGGACGCATTGATGAAAATTTCAATTACAGAAAGAAACCAGTGAAAATATGTGCAATTCGTCCATGTAAAAGGATCAATCAACAATACAGTAAAAGAAAAAAGAAAGTCAAACGAAAAAGACGAAGTATATGACACTTTTAATGGAATGTTTTTTGCTTTGAAACTATTTTTTTTTATAGATTCAAGTTCATTGGATTTAGAGAACAAAACGAGATAGAAGCTATAATTTTTTTTGAGGATTTTTCTTTCATTACAATATTGTTTGTCAAAAAAAAGACAATAACTTCTCAAAACTATTTTGGAATAGATTTATTGTATTTTCACAAAATGATTTTATTTTTATTTTTGAACAGCAAAGAAAAGTATCAGATTTATTTTTAAAAATTATTTCAATTACAACATTAAGTATTTAATAGAAAATAAATGAGGAAACATCGAATTCGCATCCGATTGTTATATGTACTGCAAAAATTGAGTCGATTTATATATGTTGTGAATCATTCTAAGAAAAATCTTTTTTTGAAAAAATCCCTGTGGGGGGGGGGGGGGGGGGGGGGGGGGGGGGGGGGGGGGGNTCTAATAAAAAACTTTTTTTTAAAAAAACCCCGTACCCCCCCCCCCCCGCCCCCCATTCAGGGATGGTCTGGTCAATAATGACAATTTTTTCGATAACTCAGCCATTTCTTCACAGATTGCTTTCATCTTCGAACTTGACTGAGATATTAATGAGGTCATTATCTGTACAAAATTTCATGACAATTGGATGAGGCTTTCAAAGGTTACCGTGCCAACGGTCGGACGGCTGGACATACTGACCGAATCTACAGTGTACTCACTTTTTTTGAGTACACAAAATGCATATTTCTTTTTTGAGTGCTCCAAATTTTCGATCACAGATAACTACTGCTGTAGGCTTTTCTTCAATAGTCACTTCTATTAAGAGGTTTCATATTCTCATTAATATATATAACTTGTATATATATATATGTAAACACTAGAATCGAAATTTATGCTGCTTCTAAGCATTTTCTTTTCAATAGTACTCGAAATTTGAAAAGTGATTGTTTACCGTAGTAAATACTTTATAGATATTCAGTTGTAGTAGCATGACATTTTTTTGAGATTTTTTTTATGAGAATATTTGTAAAAATGAGTAGATTAATGAAAATTCAACGATTGTAAATAAATTATTTTCCCACCAAAGAGCGTGACAATTGTAATACTATGAGCCAAGCCTAAAAGCTATCTTTGGGTGTGGCTAGAAAGTGTAAACTTTTTCTATTAATTTTATAATAATAGTTGCCCGTAGTTTCCATAAACCTTTTGCACATAAATAAAAACGTGAGATTCCTCTGGTTTGTCAAAAAATAAAAGAGTCATTTGTTTGAAATACAACACCGGTGTACTATTTGCTCTTCGTCCGTAGGCTATATCTAAACGTAATCTGTCAAGAAATTATGAGTTTTATTTCTGAATCATTATCATCAATAGATTGCAAATAATTTGAATAGAATAAACGTCATCTTTCCAGATTAAGAAAATCGGTTAACAAGTTATTACAATTTAAAATTTAATATTCATTTGTTTTTAAAACAAAAAACATCAGTTTTATCAGGTAAAATATCTGTATCTATATTTGCAATATTGTTCGCTTGATAGATTTAACTAAGATGAGTTTATGATGTTAGAGATGCAAAGTGAGTTTCGTTCTCAAAATTGAGGCTAAACTTAGAATAATATCAGCGTGTAAAATTGAATATTCAAACGACAGCAGTTTCCTATGCTTTCTGGCTGGAACTTGGCCAGAATATACCGGAAAAATCCGGCTGTTTCCGACCGGAATACTGCTTCCACTTTCCAGCTCTTACCCCTGCTTTCCGGCCGGTTCCTACGGTATCCGTTCTCCGAAATCATTGACCTGCGTTAGAAGAATTATCCATATCAAATAGAAAAGAAGAAAACACAAACGTATTTCAATGATATCGATAAGTTAGCGCCATGAAGTGACATCCAATATTTCCAATGGCAAGTGTACCAAACAAAAACAAAATGCACAGAACATCTGCTAGCTTTGATTTACACTCTGATTTCTTTGATCTCTGAACCTTAAAAGCCGCATATAGTTTTAAATTTATTAAGTATGATATGTGTTTTGTTCGCTAGTGATCAAAATGTTTGTTTCATGAGATAAAAAATGGCGAACATTATATTTTGTTTTCTAGATTGTGAAAATTGTGCTTTTGTACACTTTGATACACTTTGCTCATAAAAAACAGAGTGTACTGTACATTTTGTTTTAGATTTTCATTGGAAACATTGGTGACATCTAGTGATGCTAACACACTGTTGAATAATAATAATTTTCTTTAATTATAATGTTTTTCTATCGTCAAAAGCTATGCATATCAATCTCCTTTTCAAAACGAATACTTTCTACAATACCTGTCACACTGTAAGTGAATGATACACAATTGAAAAGTTGCCAAGGAAATAGCCCTAAACTGTTATGACAAGGTACTTTTATTGTAAAAAATCGAATATTGCTTCTTATAGTATTTTTGAGAAGAAGAAAAAAAGTCATTTGTTCTTTTCCTCATACATGTGAAGCGTTGCCATCATAACGACTGAATTTTTTCCTTCCTATTTTTACATTTCATATGATTTATTAGTATAGCTTAAGCAGAGTTAGAAAAGAAAATTGTTCAGCCTTCAAAGTAAGAGTAAATTGGATGCAAGAAAAAACATGTACGCTGTGTTGTAAGTACTCATTTTCAACCATGCTGACAATCAATAGCATTTGATTAAGTTTTGAGCATATTTTATTCACAAAAGAAATCAAATTAATGATTTCATTAAAATGAAACAAAAAATGTTTCATGAGAATATGTAGATGCAGCTAGAGGACACGATATTCATTAAAAATAGCTAACAAACAAAATACTTTATATAATTATGTTATATCAATAGTGAAGATAAAATGATTGATTTAAAAAAATGTCAAAACAATCGAGTCAATTGCAGTATATAGACATTTTGAAATTATATTTTCTCGAAATGTTTTCTATAATTAATTATGAAGCTCCTAGTATTGAATTCATTTAACATCGTTGTAATAAATAAAAGGCTTCTTTATTGTTGGGTTGGGTATACTTTGAGTGTTAAAATCCCTTTTTTCAAATAATAATATATACAATACACAATAATCCCCTTACTCTTAGTTTCATCAGATTCAAAAAACAACAATATGTTAGCCTGTTCTACGTATGAATTTAATAGTTCAGTAAGATTTCCAGCAATAGAAATTTTCTTTCAACAAGTTTTAACAAATACTGTTGGACTTTGCTCATATTTTTCTACATCCGTCCGATTCTTATTCTGCTTATTTAATAATATTGCGTGTGTATTAATACATTATGTTTACGTAGAATTGAAGAATATTCACTATTAGTAGAAATACAACGGTAACGGTCTACTATATTATGATTCGATTCAATCTATTTATATATATATATTATGTATGTAGACTAATTAAGAGAATAACGCATACATGATGACACTATTCTGATCTCAGATTAACTGTAACTATGTTTGCTTGAAAGGTTAATTTCAAGCAAATACTTACATATTTATAAAAGTATACCATCTAATTTGATTTAGTTTAGAAATTATAATATAGAATTAATTTATCGAAATATCTAGATACGAGGATTTTCATCGAGGGAAGATTTTTTTTCCATGATTTAGCTTCTTGGTTTAGTGAGTCATTTTTCTCGATTTGCTTTAGATCAGATTTTTTATACCGAAATGAATGTACTAACTTTGATTATATCAAATATGAAGTATGAATTTTTTTTCTATAGCGAAGAATGAATAGAAGATATGATGAGCTGATAATATGTGGCCTTCGATAGTTCAGTAATAACCGACGACGCAATATATATTTTTCTCTCATATGTTTTGATGTATGTGCTGTTACAATGATCGAATTAGCAAAACATTAAAAAAACTCAGTCTTGGTATCTTTTACGCATCAGAGTAGATTTTTTATACGCTGCGATTTAAAATGTGTTCAAGTTTGATAAGTAGCTCATTGATTGTTTTACTGTTGCTAAAAGTTAATGTCCTATATTAATGATACTGCAATCGGATTGACAGATGCGAAAATACATGATTGATAATAACTGTGTTAAGAATTCTATGAAGTTGCACCCTTTAAATTTTTTCTGGGCTGTGGAAAATGTCAATGTATGCCAGGCTTCGTAGTCATCCTATACTCCCTATATCTCGTGAAGTCCTCCTATAATTCCTATATGTTTGAAAAAGTTAAGAAATTTCACTTAGAAATCTTTTTGAACGCTGCATTGATAATCCAGAGAAGTACCGACGCATATCCACATATGCTCTCACTATTCCTATAAAGCAAAAGAATGAGAGTTGGTAACATAATATATCCATATTATATATCTATCGTGTATCGACATATTTACTATTAGATTGTTCCTTTTATTTCTATTGTCATTCGCAGATCGTTCATGAATATACTGCATGTGCAATTTTGCACAAGACTATGGAATGTTACCATAAATTAGGTGTCAATGTTATTTTGAAAAGTATACGATAATGTTTCTCTCTAGATTAATTTTTAATTTGGTTTACTGCGAAATATCAATTCATGCCGAAAGATACTAAAAGTAATTAAGAAGAAGGATAGTCTTGATATTTGAGAAAGCTACTATATGGATGGATGGTGGTAATAGTAGAAGTAAAGTTAGCAGTGAGCAACTATTGAAAGTTACAGAGGACTTGATTGATACTCAAGGGAAACGAAAATTTGCTTTTAATAAAAAGCAAATAATGAAGAAAAACAAAAACTATAATTGATTCAAATACTAATCTTAAGTAAAACAATTTTCTTATTTGTAGTTTATGTATTTGTACATATGGTTTATGCAGTTTTTTTATTTATTTAAAGGGAATAACCAAAGAGCCAACTTACACATTGTTTATGGTGCCAAGTAGTACGTCCCTCGTAAAGGACTAGATTAGATAGGGGTTATATGAACCACCGGACGTCCATTTGTAAGTCATAGAGCTGATGAACATACTGCAGTGACGTAATTAAGTTTACATCACTAATATTCATCCTTACATATGACAACATATAATCGTCCACTGAACAGTACGTAATTTTTCTGTGTCGTTTCTCTCTAGATATCTTTTTCTTTCTTCGTATCCCCCTCTCTCTCAATAACTTTTGGCTCTATGTATCTTCTTCTCTCTCTCTCTCTCTCTCTCTCTCTATCTCTATCTCTCTGTCTCTCTTTCTCTATCTCTCTCTCTCTCTATCTCTATCTCTATCTCTCTGTTTCTCCCTCTCCTATTTATATTTTCCTTATTCTCTCTCTAGTATATAAACTCGCGTTATATATAAAATAGAGAGCACTATAAGAGTAATATGAGAGCAATAGTATTAGCCTTAGTCAACTCTCCCTAGAAGAATCCCCAGGGAGCCTCCTGAAAAATCTCCGGGGACTCACGACAGGGAGGCACTATTGATTTCGTTCTTTTGCGGGGACTCTCCGGGGAGTCGTAGGGGGAGAGTGGATTAGGGAGGGTAGTATTAAAGCGGTATCAGTACAGTTGAGTCGAGTTCAGTTCTAAACAAGTCAAATTAAAAGAAAGTTGTACTTTGTAATACATACGATTGTATTCGGCTGTATTGAAAGACAACACACAGAACTCATTTTGGTCAAGAATAAACTTATTGTGTGGAATTGTTGTTAATATTATACATACGGTGGCTAAAATATATAGCTGATACTGATCCACACTTTGTTGTCCATCATCCTAGCAGGATATATACGCAATTCTATATATCTCGATAGTTATTTGAAGAATATTTACGCGACCTAAATATTTTCCCGTTACATTTATATGTGTAAGTTTCGAATGCGTTTTTGTATACTTTTTTAATGTTTCTATTCATATTATTTTCATACAGATAAAAGCTAATATTTTTGTTAATAAATGCAGCACATGCATTATTTTGTTATAATTTGCTTTTCTTGAATATCCCAACATAATTAAATCTGCTATCGAAGTTGTTTTTATTAAAAAAAGCTGATCCTATATATTTTCTATATTATTCTAGTAATCTTATAAAACATTTTGTTGTTAAAGTTCTATCATACTTATATCTCGCACTCAGGTCGCTACGAAGCCTGATGCATACTGATTGAAACAGTAAAAAGAATATTTTGGTGTGTCTTTTTCGTGCTGAATCGTTGTTTTGTGTACGCTGTGCCGATATTGATGGCACGCTTCGATGATTCTCCTTCCTTCTCTTTCTGTTCTCTTTCCATTGTTCTAACGTATCTCTCTCCTGTCTCTCTTCTATCTCTCTCCTATATATACGTGCGTCATGTATGAAGTTGTTACACTCTGGCGATGTCAGATGACACAATACACCATCATGCCGACGGGCATAGGCGACACTCTCTAGTTTTGTCGTTACACTCTGGATACTTGAAGTAGCCTAATAAACATCTTTGCCGAGAGTGGCACAAGCTACTCCAATAAAGTTGTTCGTTACATACGCTGCTAATGTATTGCTTAATTTAGGAGTTTGAAATGTGAAATTTTATTTTATTTTAATTCGTTTATTCTTGTTGACCTCTATACTTTTCACTGCATGCCATAAATTATTGACATCGTGCATTAATATGATGCTACTTATTTGTGAAAGTTTTACTCAAATTGATTATTACCTATTTCATACATTTATGCCGTACGTATTGCACTATGTGTTTTTGTCGTTGTCCTTTCTTTTTTCTTTGCCTCACAGTTATCTTTTCTATCTTTTTGTCAGTATATATACTATCGTATTGAGACGTATTGCATGCAGAGCCCGCGGAAGTGATGGGGGGGGGGGGGGGGGGGGGGGGTGAGAACAGCCCNATAGAAGAGAGACAGGAGAGAGATACGTTAGAACAATGGAAAGAGAACAGAAAGAGAAGGAAGGAGAAGATTTTTTGTAAGTATTGAGCTTTTTTTGCGAACTTTGTTGCAAACACCCTCCTTACAGCCCCCGCCCAATATTAGGTTCTTCCCGCGGATTCTGATTGCATGACTCAATATTACAATCTTATATACATATATATATATATACGCTTCGCAATACTGAACCAAGTACTTCGCCATATTTCTCCATTTACCGTCATAAATGAGCGTGCTTGTTCGACCTGGAAAGACATCCAGGAGCGTATCTGATCTGAGTGGGAGAGTATACCGATATTGATGCTACGCTCCGATGACTTTCCTTTCTTCTCTTTTGGTTCGTTCTCTTTCGATTTCTCCAATATATATATATATATATATTTACATCTCCTATATATACGTGTATTATGTATGAAGTTGTTACACTCTGGGTATATGAAGAAGCGAATAAGCATCATTACCGATGGTGACGGTAAACTACTCCCTATCAATTTTATCATTACATATTGACCACAAACAGGTCGGTGTCGTTACAACTGCATGAAAAAAAAATTAGAAACTGTAAAGTAAAAATGGTTTCATGATGCTTCACGAAAACTCAAACTGATTTAGCCTATGCTACTTTTGAACGACGATTTAGTTGAGCTCATGCAGCTTAATATAAATTTATTGAATCGATGCTAAAAACTGCTTCCTTGCATAGAAATTTAACGGCAATATTCTGTGATCGTCGTCTCTAATTTTAATTTTTATCTAATAATTCAATCAAACTTTTTTTAGATTATCTTTATAGATCTATTCATAGAATGACTTCTTTGAAAAATGTTCAATCTAAATCGAGTAAAAGTTGTTATGTAATATTTTGCTGCTGCACCTTTATTTTCGCTCCGCTTCTAATCGGTTCCATCATTTATCAATCGAGTGGCATCAAAATTCCAACCATTTTAAGTTCAATCAATGCCACGTTTTCTGTCGAAAATCTAATCGATTCTCCAACAAAGATCATTGCCACCATTCCTCATATACCATTAGAAAGCTTTATCTGCGATAAAATAAATATTAGTCGGTTTCCAGTTTCATCGACAACCCAAACAAATGATTCATTTGATGTATATCGAAAAAATGTTTTAGAAAAATATTGTGATATCGTACCGGTTCCGCGATACAATTGGTCATCACCGAAGTCTTACACTGAAAACGATATTGCATTTGTTATATTTACGGCTGCTGCATTTTTTCATACGCGAACAACAGCAGCACGTGATACATGGGTGTCACGTATAACAAATTATTATTTTCTTAGTGCAACTCCTTATCCATATTTACCAATAACTGTTGTTCCTGGCGCTGGTGAAGATAAATTATCAAATATGAAAAAACTATTTTATGGTCTTCAAATTATATATAAACAACAAATGAATCTTTCTCCAGACAAACAACAAAAATGGTTCTATATAGCTGGCTGTGATACATTTATCCTTGCACATCATTTACTGAAACGACTTCATGGTTTGGATTATAGACAGCCGATTCGTGTTGGTGGTCATTGGGGTCAACATTATTGTCCAGGACCCAATGGGACAAAATTCCAAGCTGAATTTCCATCAGGTGGTGCCGGATTCTTTTTTAGTATGAAATTACTTGAAATACTACAACCACATTTAACTAATTATGTTGAAAATGTTTGGCCTCATAATTCTGAAATATCTGATGTTGCACTTTCTTGCCTTTCTCATCAGTTAGGTGTTCCCTTAACTAAACAAGTTGGCTTTTGGGCACATCCACCAGCATTTACATTAGGTGAAAATGGACGTGATAAATTTCATAAGGAACCTGAACCAAACGATTTTCATTATATTAAACCTGATGAAATGCATGCACTTGATGAATTTTATATTTATCAACATATGGATAGATTAATAAATGATCGAAATTGGAGTGAATTTACGCAATTTATGCGACGTTTTGTGGCTAGTCATTATGAACTATTGAGAAAAAAACGACGCGAATGTACTTTACCAACGATCGAAGCTGAAGTTAAATTAAGTAATAAATGAAATTTTATAGGTATCTTTTAAAGTATATTTGTCTGTTTATTTTGTATATCATCAGAATGAAAACAAAATGTTATTTTACTGAAAGTGATGACAAATTTTCATCACTTAATATAATTATTTATATATTGTTACTTTTTTTTATGTATTATTGAAAATAATTTTTTTACAATGTTTACATTTTGAATCATCCGATGTTTTAAAAAATCTAACTGTCATGACATACGAGATTAAACAGTGTTAATATGTATTGGTAGAAATTTAGATTCTCCAAAAGTTATTCCTGACATCCACTGGTCTAACAACACACAATCAATACCTTAGTATTGCCGCTTCATTCACACGCATTATGCCAAACTTATCGCAAAAGCAAAGTATTTTATGAGACCAGTATCAAGTACAATCGAATTATACAGAACTATTTTATATCTTTTTTTTGTAATCACTTTGATATACTATTGCTATTATACTATTTCATGATTGATATATATATATATTCAAAGCAAGGAATAATTTATGAAATGAAAGGCATGATGATAAATGCACTCAGATTCAATATCAACCGTTTCATCGTATTACTATGAGAGCAACCTTTTTTTTTACCAATATTTCAAGTGTCTATTACAATTTTATTCATAGAAAATTACCTCAACTTTTGATATACACATGTTTAATATTGATAATTATAGAATATAACTTCTCAAATCGATCTGTAAAATATTATAGAAATTTAATCACAGTCATAGACAACGAATAACACTTGAAGTTAATCAATTATGTACATGGGCGTACTTATGAATATCGAGTGTGACCTTTTATCCCATTGCTCTCTTTCCATTTAATATTAAAATGATTGATACAAAAATGCTTAATCAAGTACAGGCATTCATAAGCTGGAAATTCAAATGAATTCAATGTAGTAGATTATTCAGTGCACATTCTGAAGCAGGATAATTTTGAATGCATGTTATACGACGCTATAGATAATTTTACACTTGTCATCAAATTCTGAAGTTACACTCTTTACACAAGAATATCTATATTGATATTCGGAATGCAACCAAGATCTCCAGCTAGTACATGTTGGTCTCTGAGACTATTAGTAAAATAGAAAAAGAATAGATCATATTCATTTGAACATTTAATCAGATTGGAATAGAATATAAAGTAAACCTTTGAATAGACATCGTGTAAGCGCAGAATTTAGATATTATTTTATTGTAATACTGTACCTAAGAAGTGAACTAAAAAACCTACAGTTGAAACGAACGCTTACGATCGTGCTGATTTACTATTCATTCTAAAATGATTGATATAAATAACATTGTCGACAAAATGAACAACAAGTATTATATTTATTTTAAATGAGAAAATGATACGACTAATACAAATGTACAAATAAAAAACATCAAATTAACAAATAAGAAAAAGATTAATGAAAGTCTATTCGCTATAAGCTTACTCGCCATTCGCTGTAGTAAGTTTTATATACTTGTTAAAATAGCTATGGGATTAAATGGTATTTCAGAAGTTTTACTTGATGGAAATTGTGTATTTCTCATATTCATCATAGGATAAAGTAGATTATTAGTACGTTTCAATGAGTTGTTTTTCAGCAGAATACTACTCGTTTTGCTTCTTTTCTATACGGTTCCGATGAGACGAAAAAAATAAAAATGGATACGCAAAAGGTAAATAAGATGTAATCAGAAGAATATTTGTAATAACAAGTTCAACTCCATCTTGACTAACCGATTTGACCATTGTTGCAAGAAGTATTATTGGAATTTGTATAAGCATCATTGATGTTAATTGTTTTTGAATTAATTGTCTTTGATAATCAAGTTATAATTTACGCGTATTTCTATATGTCAAACAGCCTGTTAATATTAAAATTGTACTTGGCAATAAATCACAATAAACAAGGAAAGAAAAAAATATTATATAGTTAGAAAAAATCTCATTTCTAACAAGTGTACAAGTTATTAAGTCCGCTCTTGTGTTTGTTAGCAATTCAACGTATACCAAATAGGGAGCATTGAGACCCAAACAGAATATAGTTGTCAGAATAACTGCCCAGATAGCTGCTGATAATCGACTTAATCTTCTGTATTTTTCTTGACGACAGCTAACCAAAAATCGGTCAATACTCGCCAAGCAAGTACATGTTGATGAAATTAGAAAACTAGTTTGACTAAAAGCACTGCGAGTTTTACATCAAATATGATTTGTTGTTGACCAATCAAGATAGAAACCAACGCTTAATATTCTTGTAAATAAACCATAAAATAAGGCGATGCAGTTGATAGTTGATGCAATCAAGAATAAAAATGCACATGGGTTCTGACGATGTCGCCAAAGAACACAAATATTGACTAGGTTGCCCAATGTGCCACAAATGAATATGGGAAGATCACCATAGATTGCTATTGAACTTGCTAGTGCGCTATTCGAAGGCATTCCTTTTCTTCTCTCTCTTCGAATCTACAATAATATAAATTTATATCGTCGTATAAGATCTCCTAATAGATTAAAAACAAAATTGAACTCTCATAAGAATGATCTGTCCCTTCGATGTTGATCTAGAAGAGTCGATGGACTTCAAATAGAACTGAAGTCAACGTGAGCAAAATCTAACCAGCTCAGCGCAATAATGTTCTTATCGCACTCTGATACTTGTTTTTATTCTGAGGAGAAATCGTAAATAGCTACGATTATAAAAATGAATTTCTATATTATCGTTGAGTTTGTCGATAGGATTCCTTTTTCTAATTAACATCTAATTAAGTATTCTTTCTAGGTTGATACGTTGAATATTGTTTTTTTTATTATGTTTAAGAAACAATATACTGTTGTCTCAAAAAATATTTTGTAAAGATTACTGTTGAAGTTACAATTATATTTTGATTGATCATAAGTGTAATATTGCTTTTCTCTAGTTAGCCGGCAAATATACATCTTCCTAGCAATTCAGCAAGAAATGTCTTTGACCTATTTTTCAAATTAAACATACTTGCATTGTATATATATATAAATAGTTCTGTAGAGTTCACATATACGTATATACTCGGAGAAAATATTGAGTGTACATTTTAATGCGACTCATTTTTACAATTCTCCCTCCCGATTATTGGCATCAAAGATTAATACTTAAAATGTGCATTCGCTCATGAAAGATCATTATTATTAGGTTCCTACGTCTTTCTTCATCATTACACGCATAATCAAATAGGCAGTACCCTAATTACAGACCTTAGAAATAAGACGAATTATTACGAAAAATTTTCATACAACCTACTTTTTCATCAGCATAGTGAGTCTAAAACATGTATGTATGCGTCACATTTAGGCTCAAAGATGTTGCACTAATAAACAATTTTTCTTAATAAAGAATACAAATACGTCTATGAATATAAGAAAACAACTATATATAGTCTATTTACAGTGGAAATTTTGTACTGCCCCATACCGTCAAAAAATTCGAACTCTAATTTTTTTTATAGAAAATAAACATTTTAAAATATTATTGATGAATTTGAGCTTTGATGTTTTTCATATATTTGAAAGTAAATAAATGTATGATTTAATAGTCTTGCAAGATTCTCGAGCATCCTGTACTTTATCAAACTTGACTGATCATGTTTTTCTTGTAAATGTTTCGCAAATAAGTATTGAATCCACATATCTTATCTCAGAGACTGATTCTTGTAAGTTTGATAGTACGTTAAGGTCATTTATCTATATTTAGTGATTTATATCTAAGATAAGAAATTTCCCAAAGAATCGAAGCTTGTACCAATAGATGAATAATGATTGAGGTATAGCATACGACTACTTGATAATCAAGCATCTATTCTATTTTTTTTTGTGTGCGCCCATTTTGTATTATGCTGTTTGAAATAGTAGCCTCTTAATGAACGCACATGGAATTAGAAAGATATTTGTCGACATTGAATATATGCAATAATATTAGTTCGACCATGAATAAATACAAAACTTAATCCTGATTATTGTAACATACAACACCGAAAATTGAGGCACACCGTTGAATTAAAATTTTGAAAACATGCCGATGAAAACATGTTTACGGTATTCAGTATAAAAAAAAAGCTTCATTTTGAGTACTTTATTCTCGCTACTTTGTTCATAGAAGATTTTATTATTGTCGTCAACCAAGTCGTACATGAATTCATTAATGATTTTTGGATGAATTGGGTAGAAATTCGAATGCAAAAAACAATTCCTAATCATCACTGAAACAATATAACCAGCAGTTTTTAAACAATAGCATTAGGAAGACAATCGGATATTTCATTTGACTATTATATTCGTAATATATGATACTAATCATTATTTAATAAAGATCTTTTTCGATTTGTTAGATAGCACTATCAGCTCAGGAAGCAATCCGACGAGTTATATTGCAGACCGTATGATAGGTGTAATCATAACACGAGTTATTTTATTTATATATTATACTTAATGTAAATTTAATGAAACAACTTATCAACGATAGCCTCCACTGAGTGGAATTCACGTATCAGCTACATATTCGTATGTAAAATCTAATACAAGATTCAAGTATTAAAACAACAAGATCTAGGTATGGCATACTAAAAAATAGAATAGTTTTCGCACACAATAATGATGTTCTGGTGAAAAAGATAAAAGTCCATGTATGGCAAGAAAAGTAACAGGAGAGCATAATTACGTTCACATTAAGTTCTCTGAATGAAAGGATATATCTGCAGAGAAGGAACAAGTTGTTATTTACTACCAATGGCATAAACTTTATACTTTCATTGAATTATTGAATCACTTCTATGGATACGGGAACTTTTGATAGCTCTGGCTGAGTAGATTCCTTTCATTTATTCTGCGCAGTGAAATTTATCTGTTGAATGATTGTCAAAGTAAAGCAATAGATGTTTCTACTTATGGTTCCACCATTTTATTGTTGTTACACGTATTTCTCGGATATAAGATGATAACGTTAGAACTTGAACTTGTTAATTTTCAATCGAGAATTCTTTTCTCAGAATAACAATCAATATCGACGAATATTCATTGCTCTATGTTCACACGCATAATGATCGAGTCGAGCGTTCTCATAGAACGGATGATTCTGTAGAGAATACAAATGAAACAATCCGAAAATAATCACTCCATTAATGAGTATCGTTTTTCAGGAACAATTATTCAGTTACACATTTACATTGTGATGAATTAAAAGGATCACTTAGCCTGTAATTTTACAATGGTTCAGTATTAAAAAGTATAGTTTTCATCGCCAGTCTATTTCCCTGAAGTAGATATTAAAATGGTTTTAAAACAATTATGCTTTTTAATTTATCACACGAACAAATGGCATCTATTTTATAAGTCAATACTTCTTTTTGACTTCCGCTATATATTGTATCACGAGTTATGTTAAGATAAAAAAAAAAATTCTGACCCAAAACTTGACCGTTTGTGTGTTAGTAGAAAAGTTCATAAGATTGATAACAGGGTAAATCCCATGTAATACGCAAAGATGCATCGTAAATTATTTGCATTGAATGTTTTTACTCTTCTCTCGCTTAACTTTGCCGATTTCTAATTTTAGCTGGTAGTTTCATATGAAAAAACTTTCATCGGAGACATAGCTCCAATAAAAAAAAGAAGTCTTTTTGATGGTCTTTATCGTGAATTCCAAATATGATCATAATTCTGTTTACAAATTAGGATTTTTTTTCTTTATATGACCACTGACAAAGTTCAACAAAATATTGTGCTATATGATAGCATGACACCAGTCAAAACTAAAATTTAGTTGTTTTTATTAGAAGAAATACCAAGTAAAAAATTAGTTACGGAAAAAGTAACACACTCGCTATGCATGAAAATTTATGTTTGACCTTGCATTTTCATCAGCATGAAACTAAATTCCTTAGCGTTATTGACATATTATGTCTACTATTGAGTTAGTAAACTGATCGTGCTCACAGTAGTCTAAGCGATATAAAATAGCTACCTTGAAAAAGTCGAATGGCTTATAGAGATGGATCAATTTTTCCCTACTTCTGTTTTGAAAAAACCTGGTGATGAAAACCATACACAAATCGTGATTACATTTTCCTATATAGTATACTGTATTTTTGTCGTCGTCTATACTTAAATGATTGTCTATAATTTAACTCTCACATAAATACCGAATTATGGTATATTTTTTCTAATCAACAGGTTTACTACCATATGTCGTCCATTTTTAAGAATGTGTCAATATACTGACGATAGTAAAACTTAAATAGAAAAGAAATTACTGAGAAAAAAGAAAGCATTACATTCTTTTATTTTTTTCTTCCAATGTTTTTTCATTCATAATAACTTATGACAATGAAAAAAAGTCCTTTGCTTGTATCAATTCTCAAATGATTTCTTAAGTTTTTCTAAGTTTGTTTTTCCTTTTACCATTTCTACTTCGCAAATATTCTCATAGCATTCACTTATACGCAAGTTTCTTTCCTTTCTCATACTATTCTGCGTTCTTTTTATATAGAATACTTCTTTTTGTCTTCAAATATTAGTAATTACAGCAATTACTTGAATAAATGTAATATATGATTAGCCAGGACCTACTTCAATGAAAAATATAGATCCTTTAATATAATTTCCCACGAGGAAAAATTAGTAGTTCTACGAAAGTATGATTTATGACTACATTTTCTTTTTTCTTCTAAACTATTTGTGAATGTTTTATTAGTTAGTTTTGTATTCTCTTTATTTCTATGGTTGAATTTAAAGCACTGCCGAAAATACTTCGATTTGACAACGAAGATAGTGTAATGTAGTAAACCAGTAGCACAGTTATCCTATAAAAAACAGCAAGAGACCATGCCACATCGAAAACTATTCTGTGAACCAATGCATTGTGTAGTATTTTACTATTGTATCGAAAATTCTACACTGTTCACTGAAATGAATCATCACTAATGATGCACTAAACGACAATCAAATACTTAAGTCATCATTGTGAATATCATTGGATCAATACACATATTCGACATGAGAAGAAAGAGAGAAAAAACACAGTTTTTTGTTCACTACCGTTTTTAATATATTGCATGTATTTTTTTTTCTTTTCAAATCATAAAAGGAAATCAATGCTGGCACATTAAGCTGCCATTACTCAGTATTAAAATGTTACGATTCTTCTTTCGCTATGGATGGGTTAAATTGTGCTATGTATTTATCGGACTCTTATTTTTAGTTGTTCTATTTATTTACACATTCTCTCGCGAAAATCTATCGAAAACTACAATTAAAACATCGCATACCTCTTCATCTCCGATTCTATCATCAAGTATTCGTACACATGATTTTCGTCTTTATTCGGAATCTCGTCCATTTCTTGAATACAATCGTATTCAAATCAATGATATTGCTCAATCGATGTTTAATTTTAATAAAAGTGAAGTCGATGAAAAAAACGACTATTCTAAAGCCATTGAATATTCGGAATCGAAATTTCGTTTTGCACCAATTCCAATTGTTTGGCTTGATGAATACGGTGATGTCCATTGGAACCGTGCAGCTCAATATGAAACATTATATTATTTATTGGCAAAACAATTTCCTAATGAGAATATATCAACTTGTTTAACTCGACAATTAATTATTTTAGAACAATGGCCGATGGGTTTTTTCAGTCGCCATCATTGCTTGATTGAACATTTCGGACAAACTTTATATTCGCCATCAATGACTTTACTTATGCCTAGACGTTTAGTTGTATCGAATGCAGCAGTAGAAGATTTTCAAAATGAAGGTATACTTCGATATTATCAATCCATATCATTGTGTTCATCTTATTTACATCATCCAACATTAAAATCTCTTCATGATCGTATACAATCTACTGATCATACTTCAAAGGATACGAAAGTTATTCATCATATAAATCAATTAATTGAACGTGATGAATCAACAGTCAAATTTAAATATAGTACAGATATATGGAAGTTTGGTTATGACCATGTACCACACAGACGATGGTTATTCGATCGAAATAGAAAAGAAATTAAGAAAATGATCGATTATCATTCTCCAATTAAATCACTTATTGATCATTCAAATGAACATATTTATTTTTATAATAGTTCATCATTCAATTTAACTGCATGGATACCTAGAAATTCTCCCCAAGGACCACCCAAAGAAGTTCTTGCTGGTTAGTTTAAATCGGGCTCAATCAGTTCATTTGAGATTCAGTATAATTCCATTTAAATTGACTATTGAAAATTAGTGCATAGCAACTGATATAGAATTTAATATCAATCAATAAGATAATTCTTCTGTAAATAAAATAGTTTTTAACTTCTGAAAAGTATTCCAGTACAATCATTTTGACGTTATTATACTTATTATTTGATAAAAATAGTGAAGACTCTACAAAGCGCAGTGAGGGCAACTTGACAGGATTCTAACGTGTAATAAAATATAACTACTCTTACCGAGGCCAAGAAAACGATGTCATTTTTGTATCCTATTATTCACTACATGTCGATCAGGAGGTGGGACAAATAAAATTTAGTTTTTCTCATGTCACATATGACTTCCATAGAACAGGCTTGTATGACTAAGGATAATATTTGTCACTGAATATTCAAGTTCATTACCGATTGTTTTCATTTTTCTTTAGGTACTACAACTAACTTAGCAATACGGGATAAAATCTTCACTTCATTTCTTCGCTACATGTTTCTCTTATTCTTGTCTCCATTAGCTCCACGTATTCAAACATCAGCAAAATTATTAGCTCATCATTGGTCGGAATATTTATCAGACAAATATAATAAACCCTATAACGTAGTTTTATCAAAAATGGCAGTTGTATTTATTCGTCGTGGTGATAAAATGCCTGAGGATTCATTTTGGCATAAGCATCGTCGATGGAGAAATATATCTATGTATGTCAAAGGTATAGTCGATGAAGAAAAACGTCGTCAAATAAATTATAAAGCAATATTTGTTATGACTGATGATGTGGCCGTAATGAAATCTATTCAAGAATACGCGCGTGTTGGTTTGATAGGTGTAAATAACGATGAACCCTATGCACGTCGACATTTACATGGTCGAGAAATATTATTTAATGTTTTTGCACCTCAATCTTGTTTTGATCCATTTGTTCGTATTGGTTTTGATCAATTTCTAGTCAATGTACAATTTATTACTGATCATGCATCACTTGTTGTTGGACATACAGATTCTAATGTTGGACGATATTTAGAAGAAATTATTTATGTTAATCGACAACATGAAAAAAATGTTCGAACATTGACATATGTTATTAATGCACCAGATTCTCTTGATTAGAATCAGCTAGATAAGAATTTCAAGTTTGATCTATTTTTGTTCACGAATGAAGCAATATAACAGGTGTACGGGCGTTTATTTCTTTACTTCTCTTAGAATTTTCTTTCTATAACATGATGACATGAATATTTATTAAGAAAAAAAAATTAAGTATACACGAAATGTAAAACAGGACAAAAAAATTGCTCAAAATAATATACGTTTTTATTTTATACGGATTGATATGGAGTATCACCTTTGTTCAACACACGTCGATATATATGAACAGCACCATCCTTTGCATAACTAGGTAAGCCAACCCAGAATGTTCTATGTGCAATAAGTTCAACACCTGTTCGTTCCAAGCGAAAACGATAGTAGGCAGCAAATCCAATAAAATAAACAACAAAAAGTACTACAAGTAATATGATGAACACAGCCCCTCCAGTAATACCACCTTTGCCACCTTTGCCACCTGAAGATTTTGTTGTGGTTTGTGGACCACCTACAAAGAAGACTATTAAACCAAACACAATATTCTTTATAATTCACTTTACCTCCACATCCATCCCAACAAGCGCATTTGTTTGTTAAACGCATTTTATAGTTATTCGTTTCAGATTCACCTTGAGCTTCTAGTTCATCAGTTCCATCCTTCGAACATGCCAATGTAACAATTAAAGTCTTTGGACCATCTGTGTAGGTAACCGTAGGACTACCACCGATTCCTCCTGAATTCCACTTTGCAGTTTCTTGTTTACCAATGGAAAAGCTATATTTTCCATCCGTCGAAACTAAATGTAATTAATACAAAATTTAGTAAATAAGTCATATTGAATTACTGACCTTGGCAAGCGGCTACTCCTTGGCAAGAAGGTAGTTCAGTAAATGGTTTACATGGGTTGTAGCTATATTCTATATTGAATAAATACGTAACAATATACATAACAAGAATAAAATTAACTTACTATAGCCAGATCCAGTAGTTGGTATTTTATCGGGATATTTTGCTTTGTCATCCGTTCGTGCTAATGACGATATATCAATCACTCCTTTGGCAGTCTGATATCGGCACGGATCATCAGCAATAATTAATGATGATAAAATAGCAAAACTAGTGGCGATTGTTAACCAATACATGATGATGAGAATCTATTCTCAAACAAAGTAAAATAACGTGAAGGTAAACCAAAACAAAAATGAAAGCAAACACATCATCATCATTAGTTATCTTTTTCTTTTCCATTGTTTGCTTAAATACCCCAACAGTTATATATATATGTAAATAATTACGTCATGATGTTATTCATTTTATCGTGTGTTGAATAATGATAAGCATTCTCTTATTTTTGTGTTTTTTCAAATTCAACTTAAGCGAAGATTCGTAAAATTATCACGTGAAAACAATAAAGGCCGGTTGTTTAACATTTGTTTTTCTTCATTTCCCCTAACTAGCTTGACAAAATATGAAATATTAGTCCAACATTGAAAGCTTCATAACTTTCGGATACGACGTTTTAGTACTTTCCTCGCAGAATCCTTTTCGCACATGATATTCAACTGTCAAGAACCATCATTTTTACGTTGTTTTTATTGAGAAAATGTTTTATGAAGTAATACCATTCAATAGTGCAGAATTCACTTTGCATTTTTTTTCGTTTCACATGTGTCATTAAGTGTGTTTAGAAAAATAAGCAATTGATTATAATATATGCAATCGAATATATTTGGGTCAACCCAATTTACTGTCTTTTGTCGTTCCTATTGCTGCTAGTTTATCATTTCTTCCACAGCAAGAATAAATCTGTGTTACCTCTAAACAGCAAAAAACGGGACATCTTTGCGAAAAACATATTCATGTCTAAAACATCAATAATAATATGTTTGCAAGATTTTAGTAGAAAACTCTGGTATTATCTATTTTCATAACATAAATGTGATCATTATTAGTTGCAATTACATAAATTTGCACAAATTTTGCTATCTATATTTATTTGTAATCAGTAGGCGTGTACAGAAATTTTATAGATCAGTTTATGGCGACGCTATAGGATGTATTATTTATATGATCGATTAATTCAGTTCAGTGTTAATAGATTTTATTCTTTTGCATGAACTTGCTTATTGAATTAACATTTTTACACTCATTGAATCGTACTCATATCAAAAGTCCACCATCTATTTTAAGAATTCTCACCTATATATTAGTTTTATCGGTCTTTTTCTTCCGTTTCGATTACACTTATAAATCAAATTAAATATGCAATTGACTATACTTTATTTTCCTTCAGGCTACTAATGAGTTGAGAAATGTAAAATGCTTCATGATTTCCTGAATGTAATACAATAATTGAATTCATGCGACATCAGTTTTAGTATTTTTCAGTTTTACGCTATGATTTTAATCTTTTATAACGACGAAAAAGAAAATGCAAATGATAATATTCTTCCAGTCAACGTTATGTAGTTGCACTAGGAAAACCTAAGATTCAATATGGAGGTCAATCAATAGAATACATAAAAAGTTTTAAATGCTTAGGCGTAACAATTGCCAAACAAAATATCAAGATGAGCAAAAAAATATTTTCAACTTTTTCTATGCCTCATTTTCTTTGGTTGCTCTCAACTTGGTTCCATTATTCAGACAAATAACGAAGATATTTTGAGTACGTTTATTGTCCAGATATAAAAATTGTGTATTCTTTACAAAAGTGGGACGATAAAACTATACTAATATTAAGTCAACGGTAGTTTATTCTCTATCACCTATATTCGTATTGGATGAAGTTTAGTATTCACCTTGAAAAATCGCTAAATCTATTATAATTTCAACAAAGTTGGCAAGCTTATAAAATAATAGTATCTATAGATAATAATTGGTTCAAAACTATGCATTTCAATAAGCGTAGTCCGTCTCCTAACAGACTCATCAAGAGAGCACAAGATACATTAGTCAAATGGCAATGTTTTGAGAACAATCATAAAAAACAGATATACTATTTTAAAAATTATACTAAATTCATCAATTTATTCTTTATATATCAATGCAAATCACCCAAGGTACAAAATAAACCCACTACTAAATGTAAACAACCAAGCTTACATATAGTGCCTCCTACTAACGAGTCGAAAAGTTGTGTGATGGAACACTTTGTTCTTTTAATCAAGCAAATATCTTACGCTTTTGTATTCTAAGTCAACAAAGATATTGTTCACAGCGCTTTCTTCTAAAGTTCTTAGTTTTATATTCATTTAAAAATTCTAAAAAGCAGTTATTGCATATAATACGATACTAAGTAACGACTATTCTAAATAAAACAAATTTTTTCTGTAAAACAATCATTTTTGTTTACCATTTTCCATTAAACGTCAATTAATTGCGTGTGATCGTTTTAATATTTTCATTTATTTAAAGAGATCAACTTTATTTCAATAATCATTTATAATACCTCAAATACTTTTTCAGAAGGAAAATAGTCTTTTATATGTTGAGATAGACGACCATTATCATATATACATAAAGGAATCACTTTTGTACAATTCAATCGTGTTGTATTTCTTGTAAAATTTCGTGTTACCCTTAGCAATGGTCGATAAAACACAGAAAGACGAACAACATTGGATAAAGACGTTTTCCAATCGACTAGAAATTGTTCGATATAATCATCGTGAGCATCAGTTAGATCAAGTTTAACAAGATGAGAATATCTAATGATTGGTAAAGCTCGATTGTTCTTCTTTGGTTCAGTTTGTAATTTGTTCCGTTGCGGCTTATCATTCATTACAGTTAAACTCTTCAGAAATGGAAATGATTGAGAAATTCGAAGAAAGAATTCATGTTCGAAAGGATGTTCATCACATAAAGTTACAGTACGGACGCATTTAAAAATGCCACCGGAAAAATTATTCGAAATTTGGTCATAATCTTTCAGTCTATATGGATACGAATAAATGAGACATTCACCTTTGTCAACCTCGAGAAAATAATCAATACAAGAAATAATTTGATTATCTTGAAAATCTTGGAATGTTTGTTGAATATCTTCATTTGATGGTAAATTAGTTTGATTGTCAAGATCAATAATTGAACGAATGTTAAACGAAAATTTTTTTAATTTTAGCAGACGATTGATAATATTCTTCTTCAAGTCATTACCATCAACAAACGTTGGTTTGCTAATAACTGTAAAACATAAATCTAGCTTTTCTAAATTCGATATTCGCTGTATAAGTGGCACAATCAATTCATCATAAGCTTTTGTTTCTTCATCACAATGTAAGGAAAAACATTTTAAATTAGGTATTTTTTCCTAGAAAAACAATTTAATGAATTCTTTTGAATAACTGAAATAATTACTGATCAAAACAATCTACCTTATTACTATTTTTTGGATGTAATAAAGGAATCATAAACATACTAACATATAGAGTTTGAAGTTGATTGAAACGTCCATCAAGTAAATAAAGACAATCATTGAATTTGTCAAAAGTGACATGTAATTCGACGAGAGTTGAACTGACAACAGTTGGAGGTGCATTGTCAAATGACAAAGTCGAAGAATAACGTGCAGACGGATCAAAATATAAATATTTTAAATTGGTGAATAAAGAAAAGATTTGTGTAAATAGAAGTGTATGTCTCATTGAAATAAGCTTTTTATCTACAACATTATTGATAACAATTGATGAAATTTGTTTTTTGAAGGCATAACCGAAAAAAGATTCTTCTAAATAAGAAAGAGAAACATGAAATTCATGAGAAAAATATTTCTAATATTAGTTTTTGATCATAAAATTAATCTACATATTGATTCATTTAACCAATTCTATAATATAGATTAAAAGATAAATTAACATTTTAATTTTTCCCATAAGGAAATGCTAAATTACTCTAGATTTGAATTTCCTGTAACATATTCATGTGACTCCTATTTTAATTCTACAATAGATTATACTCTTTTATGAATGTTCGATTTTATCCAGTAGCGGATCCAGGGTCGGCAGCGGTAGCACTACTTGTCACCCCCTCCCCCGCTGTGAAATTCATGTATGTTGCATATCATAAAATACGTTTTTCTATTTTTATGAAATGTACAACGAATGAGAGCGTGTTATTTTCACTATTTTTATGTCTAGTGCTTGCAGTTTTAAATTAGTGATTATAGAGAAGAATAGCTTACCTGCTCATGATCTTATGTTTTCTTTGTTATTGTGGAACTCGTATATATTTTCGACGAAAATAACAAGCGTGCTTAAGGAAAAGTTCTCCAGCTCCACCACTCCAACTCCCTAGACTCCTACCATGACAGATCTTAGTTAACAATTAATAATTCATTTTTTTATATTTAATTTTTCATAGTTAACATGGATCGCATAGATATTATCAGTGAGTAAACAGAAATTATGTATTGAAAATGTATCGGACAATAAAAATAAATTTTTTTCAACATTAGGATGTTAAAGGAATCAAATGAACTGATAGAAAAATAACTATAAATATGAGGTCCCGGTAAAATATAATTTCAATTAATGTTGTTTTGAAACTTGTGGCAATATGTCATAAATTATTACCGGTTAGAGATTGCGAGTTCCACATTTCGCCCACTGTAAGGGGGCCGCACTGACAAAGTTTTTTTAAATTATTTTTTCATATAATGTGCCCTTTAGCATTGTTATGCACTTTAGTCTCATATGCATCCCGATTTCGTATATTTGCTTCCCTATCTTCAGTTTATCCGTCCTTCCGTTCCAAAATTTCTGGGTCAGCCGCTGATTTTATCTCAATCATTTATTTCACATTTGTTTCTTTTACAATCAATGTTCGAAATATTAATTAAATACTTTATATAGTTTTATTCAAATACTGATTTACATAAGTGATTAGTTTTACTACTAATTTTGTATCTTGAAGAAAATATCAATAAATAAGAAAATAATTTTATAATAAAAAACAATTCCGATTATCTAATTCTAGCTCTTCAAATTAAACATTGAAAATAAACCATTTTAAATTTCATAAATCAAGTGCTGACAAAATCAAAGAAAATATCTTACCAGTAAAGAGAGATCGAGCTATTTCTGTGTCCATATTATATAAACCAAGTCCATATAAATTCGGATAATTTGTAGCACCAAGTATACGTTCCATAGATGATGATTCAAGATTTAGCCATTTGATATGAGGATGAATTTCAGGTAAAATTTGTAAACAAAATCGATCAAGCATTGGATCAAGTAACGGATCAAATATTGGACGGCAGCACTTGTCTGACAAGCATCTCATCAACGTTAAACGACCAGTAAAAATTGAATCGCATACAATTGTTTTCAATCGTTTATTAACATCTATAAAAGTACTGATTGCTTCCAACTGAGATAAATTTTTCAAAATAATTATTAGAACTTTATCTGGTAAATCATTTAATCCAAGCAAAGAACGTTCCATTTTAATGTTTACTTCTATAATGTTTATTCGTTTTTGTTAACATCTAGATGTCAACATTTATATGCATATGTTCATTTCATCTATTTGATCGATATCGTCAATGAGAACAATGATGTATTGTTCTATAATTTGAATTGAGGACGAATGAAGCAATTCCAAATAAAGAAACAGAATAGTCTTTGGATGTGTAAGTGTGGACCATGTCTTAAGTCAAATCTTTGTCAAGAAATTTCAAGTATTACTACTATAGGCCCAGATCCACTCAGCGAAAAGCTCAAAAAATAAATGTTCAGATAGGTAACATTTTATGATGTTGTGCTAAACGTCTGATACGAGTAGTCAATTAAATTATGCAACAAAACTGGAATTGACTTAACTTTCAGAAGATAAGCTTTTTTTAGGTTTCGATTCAGGGTCGGTTAGCGTGGATCATTCTAAAACTTTTTTGCATTTGATCTTCGTGAAACATTTTCCGAAACAGTTCAAAGTGAGATCTAGTTGCAAGCTTTGTCGACTGATATAAGTTAGTTCCTACTAAAATGGTTCTCAGAATGGATCAGAGAGTCTTTTACTAATATTCTAAATTGTACGTTATAATCCAAAAGAGTTAATAATTGTATCAATTAAAATAAAATTTTATCAATAATTAAAAGTAAAATAAATACAAGAAATCTTACCTAAATTTATATAAAAACTTGTACAGTGTGAGATCTAAATATTGAAACAGTATAATATGATGAAATATAATGTAATATAGAATTAAAGAAACTGCTTTTCGTTTTGGCTTATTGTTTGTTATACATGCTAAATTAATTTTTCTAGACCAACAGAAAAAGTATGCACATAATCGAAGATTCTTGTTTCCTAAATCATAAGCGAATCGATCTGCTGATGCTCAATGATCTCTAACGGAAGAATTTACTAGTATCCTCATATTGTTTATCTGATCGACTGTCTAGCGCCTGACTGAATGTACCTTTCAAAAAACAGGAGATAATTCTGGTTAAACGAGTTCTTGCTAACAAAGTATAAACTCACTATGAGATTGTAAAAAGATGTTCAAATATCAGAGCCTAGGAGCTCTACCGTCCATGAACTATACTATGTGCCATATATATATATGTTGTTTCTGATCAGACAACTAATATATACCATTATACGATGGCGTCATAAACACTTTTTCTGTTGTTGTCGAACTATATCGATCTAGGTGGAAAACAAAAGAATAAATGTTTACGACATTATCTTATAGTAAAAATACGATGGTTCACTAGTTTGAAACAACCTATAGTTATACAGATAAAGAGTGAACAAAACATTCTATGTGGTTATGCCAATAGTCACTATTAAATACTATTTAATCTAATAGCATAATATCAATATTTATTTATAATATACTAAATAACTGGCTCAATCTTCTTATAGTTGCATAGACGTAGGTAAAGTTAGCACCCGATTCGCTTGGTGACTTGTGCTATTGTTCTAGTCAGTTGTGCTGGACGCAGAATTTAATTCTGAATCGAATGCTACCATCTTTATAGGGGATCATCCGGAAAAAAATGGAGTTTTACAATAAATATTGTCTGTACTGTGTGTCTGTGTTACAAAAAAACCTCCAAAACCAGTTTTTCGACAGAAACTCATTTTCTGCCCAATGATCCCCTCCCCCCGTAAAGATGGTACCATTCGATTCAGAATTAAATTCTGCATCCAGCACAACCGACTAGAACAATAGCACAAGTTTTCAAGCGAATCGAGACAAGAATTATCGAATCGGGTGCTAACTTTACCTACGTAATTCATACTCATTCGTATCGAAAGTTGAAGGCTAAATACTATCGATGATGACATCATGGTTCGTTTCTAGTTTGATATTATTTATTTTTCGGTCGTTTTATATTAGTTGACACAAATGTAGCAATTAAAAAGTCGATATGAAATTTAATATTTTAGTCACTATGTGATAAGTCCAATAGAATAAACAATATTAACGATAAGAAGATGCACGATGAATACAGTCCCTCCAATGAAGCTAACGCCCCCGCTTTTTGATGTTGGTTGTGGTTTTGTTGTGGTTTGTGGTCCACCTATAAAGATGACTACTAAACAAAACATAATATTCTTTATAATTCACTTTACCTCCACATCCATCCCAACAAGCGCATTTGTTTGTTAAACGCATTCTATAGTTATTCGTGCTAGATTCACCTAGAGCTTCAAGTTCATCAGTTCCATCCTTCGAACATACTAATGTAACAACTAAAGTCTTTGGACCATCTGTGTAGGTAACCGTAGGACTACCACCGATTCCTCCCGAATTCCACTTTGCACTGTCTTGTTTACCAATGGAAAAGCTATATTTTCCATCCGTCGAAACTAAATGAAATGCGAAGTCTAATAAATGAATCATGTTGAATTACTGACCTTGGCAAGCGGCTACTCCTTGACAAGAAGGTAGTTCAGTAAATGGTTTACATGGGTTGTAGCTATATTCTATATTAAATAAATGCGTAGCAATATACATATCAAGAATAAAATTAACTTACTATAGCCAGATCCAGTAGCCGGTGCTTTATCGGGATATTTTGCTTTGTCATCCGTTCGTGCTAATGACGATATATCAATCACTCCTTTTTCAGTCTGATATCGGCACGGATCATCCGCAATAATTAATAATGATAAAATAGCAAAACTAGTGGCGATTGTTAACCAATACATGATGATGAGAATCTATTCTCAAACAAAGTAAAATAACTTGAGGACAAACCAAAACAAAAATGAAAGCAAACACATCATCATCATCGTTAGTTATCATTTTCTTCTCCATTGTTTGCTTAAATACCCCAACAATTCTTTTTATATATAAATAAGTACATCGTGTTATTATTTCTTTTATCTTATTCTGAACAATGATAAAGATTCTTTTAATTTTGTGTTGCTTTCAAATTCAGCTTACATTACACGCTTCTATAAATGAATTGACTAAAAACGATTGTACCTATCAAGATGGTAGATTTGGTACCATTAATTTATCTCAAGTTGGTTTAAAACATGGTACACCCGCGTTTCGACATATTCGTCAAGATGATTACTTTTATTCGTAAGATTTTATTATTTAATTGATATATTTAAAATGATCTAACAATTTAGTTACAATCCTTGCTATCCATTTTCTGAAGAGCCAACTTGCATTAATGTAGCGATGTGTCAAAGTAAATAGTTCCGCTTTCGAAATACTTTTATTCCAAATTAAAAAACAAAACATTTTCTTTTAGCATTTAAAGATGAATCAGTATCTTATGTTCTTGGTTTTAATTCTATTGTAACCTGGTCAATAAGTGTCGATGGACAAGCGACACTTGTTTATTCTGCCATTGATCGACAAGCGATTGTTAATCTTGTATGTTCACCAGACTTAGATCAACTTATTGTCAATGGTGAATATGAACGTAAACATTATAATTTAACATTGCTTAGTAAGTGCGCTTGTTGGAATCAATGCTAAAATGATTTTATTATTATTTCCTCTTTTATTTCATCAATATAATAACAAGAAAAAGAAAATATCTGCACAAAAATAATTATCACATTTGAATTAAATGAAATAAATAAATATTTGTTCGAATGATGAGAAAAAGAAATGAATACCGAGCAACAAAAAACAAATAGAAATCAATTTAATTGATCATAGTAAAACAAAGATCGATTGATTGCGAAAGAGAAAACAAAGTTAAATTATATCTGACAAAAGAAAAACTATAAATTATCTTGAGAAATCTTCATGATACTATTAATTGATTTTTATTGGTTTCTTCACAGGCATTAATCCATGCATTGTACACATCGATTGGTTCACTTAAATCTAAACGAAAGAAAATAGCAATTGAGTATATAGATTTTAATTTAGCGATATTTTCTCAGCGATCGAACATCGTTAGAATTTTCATTGATAGGGAACTTAATTGAAGGCATATTAATACTCCATGCATATATATAATGTTTATCTACAGCCAAATAACTGAAAGAATGTGTAACTTTGAATCTTAATCCTTTTAGGTTACACTTCTGTCTTTTTTTTAGCGACTTTAGCCGCCTCTAGCTTTGTCCCATCTTGTTGAAATGTTCACCTTAAATATATAGAATTATGCTTTCAAGGTAGGACCTGCGGTTTTTGTATTTGACCTTCCTGTCAGGATTTATAGTTTCAAACGGCAATATTCATGCTTTGAATTGAATTCTTCATGCATACCAATGTAATACAAAAGAAAGTGAATGCAAGATTTTTGAAATCGTTGAAGGTCGTCTCAAATTGTAGAATATACCCCAATATGTCTATTCAATACGTTGTTTTACTGGTAGACATCTAATCTCCGATGCTCAAATTACTTGCAGGCAATGTCAACATGTAGTATTTTAATTCACAGATAAAAAAAAGTTCTACTAAACGTATCAATCTTCGAAAAAAAAGACTCCATCATATGTGATTCGTTTCGACGCATATCTGCTCTACAAAATCCTATGACTGTGGGATCGAAATTACATAAGAACAGCAAAAGTTTTTTTTCCGGACAATGAGACATTGAAGTGTCGACTAGACGAGTTCTTCATCGAAAGAAAAACCTTTTAGTATGTCAATCTTATAAATATGAAAGTAAAAACTGACATTTATCAAAAAATGGTCAATGTAACGGTTATTGCTCAAACACCTAGTTTAAACATCGATGTGTACAAAAACAACTTGACTTTCAAAATTATAGCATTAGACTTATTTCTATTTGAAAGAGTGAGAGAATTGTTATTTGAAAAAGATTTTTGGAAACTTACGATGAACATCCATTTCATACATTTCGAAACAAATTCGACATAAAATTTGTGCGCGTCGCTTCCTTCGATCAAATTTTACATTACACGAATATTCATGATTGCAAAATGGACATTCAAAAATTGTCGGTAATACTTGTTGTCGTCTTGTAGTTTTTTGTGATTTTCGTTTACTTTTTTTACGACCCATTTTTTAATATAAAAATATTTCTTAATCTGTAAAAATGACACACCAGTAACAACGCATATATATATATGGATTCACGAAAGAAAATATTATATTTCTTTGTATAAAAATCAAACAAACAAACAATCGAAAAATATTCTTAGGATAAATTAATCTCGATTTTGCTCTTCACATGCATCAATCCATGAATTATACACATCGATAGCTTCGCTTAGATCTATAGAAAATAAAAGTAAACAAGAAAATAAAATAAGAGAAGTAAAGTAAAAATTTTGCTTACAATGGACCTGTGTTGAATATGTTTCTCGACACATACGACATTCAATTGTTCCAACATTAGCTTTCCGATCACTAGATAAAATAATGATATTGATTACTTTAATGACAATTCAAGATATTACTACTTACAGTTTAACTTCGCACGAACGATCATGTGAACAAAACGGACATGGAAAAACGAGTGAAAGAGCTGTGACATGCTTTTGTTTTGGTGGTGGTTTTCGTTTCGATTTACGCTTACCCATTTTATATAGTCGATGAAATTCTGAAGAAAGAAAAATCAAATGGTGTTTTTAACCGAAGATATTGTTGTTAATGCACTTTTGATCAGGCGTCCTATGTATATTTATATATAGGCATGTTTGTTAAAGGAAGAAGAAGGAGAGATTTTCATTTGATTGTCTCGTTTTAGCTATGATTAAGTAAAATAAAAGATGGCGCTAGCTTTCTGTAAAAGAGTAGCATCGGTATGGTAGAGCTCAAACTCTCGTATCGTACTGATAAAGAACCACGATTGCTACAATGAAACTGTTACTGATAGCAAAGAATTTTCAAAAACAATGAATTTCAGTCTGACTTTTCGTATGGGGTCTGATAGAGATGCGTATTGAAGATCACGACCCTTCTTTTGTTGCTACACTCATTCGTACGAAAAAAATTTATCTCTTTCAAGTTAATATTTCATTTATTATCATTGATATTTTTTGTTGAGTATCGTACAATGAATCAGCTTTTTAAAAGGAATATTTACAAAAAAATGTAATAATCGATATTACTAATAAATGATGTTTTTATTGAACATCAAAAAATTACTTTTCGTAATATTCTGTATTTAGGCAATTTTACCAGAAAATTTGGCCCAGGTGATCGTGATAATGGTTTTATAACACGATATATATATATATATATAGGATGATTTGTCAACTGGGAAATTTGTGCCAATAGTTTGATTAGAAAAATATTCATATTTGTTTTGGGAAAAGTAGATAAAAGGGTTAAATATTTATGAATTGATACGTAATCAAGGGAAAATGTATCTACAGAAAGAAAAATATTCCTACAGTGTAATAGATCTCATGTTCACTTTCATTGGAATAATAAGAATGTGCTGTCAAAAATCAAGCAAAAGTATAACTCGTCTTATAAATTAATGTGAGCTACCACTGATATACTTGCGACTGTTTTTTTTCTCTCACTTTGTAGTAGAACTCATAACAGTAAATCAAAGACTTCGAAATTAAAAAAATCCTTTCACATATTCACATCAGCATAGGAGCACATGTCTACTAATAAAATTACCGTTTATTTTTATCGATCTATACATTCATGAGTCTTATTTATTTATTTATTGCACTTTTCTTTTTAAATCGAATAGCCAATGAAATAATCATCAATCTAAATAAAAGTCAAGTTAAATATCTCCTATGATGAGCATCCTCAATTCAATATAATAGATAAATCAGAAATGAATAGATAAATGATTTTAATTATGAGGTTTAAGTCGAACAACTGAAATGCCATCGCCGATAATTGTAACAGAAATCTTAAAACTATTTCAGTCAACGCGAAAACTCGAAACATTCAGGATCTAGTTTCTATTGACTTTTTATAATGGACTATTGAAAATAATAAATCTCATTATGACACATGTGTTAAAAACTGTTATAATATTTCGTATATCAGCTATAAAAAAAACACGTTTCGAAACTTTCAGTTCCCCCAAAAAGCAAATATCCATCCCATGCTATATTATTTTTCTGATATTTTATGTCGATAGATGTCGATAGTGAGAAAACACATCGCCTATTGATAGGTTGAACGAACGAAACGACTCATTTCTGAGAAGCAGTTATTAGTAAGTAGTATATACTAAAATTTGAGAAAAAATAATGGTCCTAGTACGTAAACGCCGTGGTGGTCGTCGACATAAAAAACTAAAAGCCATCGATCCATTTTATTCTGGTCCAAGAAAGCTTCTTGTTGACAAGTTGGTATTTATACAAATATTTATTTCTTATTCTTAAAAATGAATTTTCATTATAGAAAATTAGTTGGTGCAAATCAAGCACCAAAAAAAGGTGAAAAGATCGATAGTAAAGTTTCTCATCGTTTTCAACAATTTCTTGATAATAAAACTCATGTGGAAGAATTGACAAAATCATCGAAGAAAAAAAATAAAAATAAATTTAAACAAAATACAGTGGAAGAAGGTGAAAATCCAGAACTCGAACAAAAAACAAATGAATCTGATCGAAATTATATACAAAGATTAGATCATGTAAAATAAAATAATGGTCTAATTCAAATCAAAGAATAAAAAATCTTTTTTTCTTTTTTTAGGAAATCAAATTTGCATTAGATCGTGCTCGATATGAATCAAAGTACGATGTTAAATTGGTTAATACTGAAAAAGGTGATCATCAATATGAGGTTAAAAAAGAAAAAAGCCACCGAGCTGAAAAAAGACTCAAGTAAGTTCAGACTACTTTACGAAAACATTTATATCAATGAAAGATGATTCCCCTCAACAAAATACAATTAAGATATTGTATTAATGTATGAACCTGATATGATGAGAACGAGAAATGATAGAGATTCTTGAATAGTCGAATGAGTTTCATGACTAAATAAAAATTACAGCATTATATTACGGAGTTGATGACGACTGTGATAATTTCAAATAATCCGATTATGATAGATACATTTGTTTAAGAATTTTCTAAGTTACATCTTGCAAGGAAATTTTTCCAAGTATGTCTGACTAGATTTCAACCTTATTTTTTGTCTATATGTGCTATTATATATGCTAGTGAAGAGTGTAACAAGTTTGTATCTTGCATACATGAATTTTTCTAACTATAAACTCCTTAAACATATTACTGCATTAAACAATTTTTTCCAATTTCATATTTGAGCGTCTTCTTTACAACGACATCGTATAAGGAAACTTTTGTCCCAATTCGTTGATATGATCCTTGATAGAAAAAAATAAGACCTAACACATGTCATAGGTTGCTACTGATGGGTTTAGTCCTTGTCTTTCGCACAAAAGTTATATGAACACATGTTACGAAGAAAAATTAAAGAATAGACACTAGATCGTTTTTTTTACTTCTGAAAATCGTATTCATGAATTATAAATAGGATTCATTCTTCTGATGAATTCAATAATTTATAAGTCTTTTTTTCACTAAATCTATCCCAGACAGTGTAGACTGTTAATATTAAGCTTTAGGAAAAATTTATCACAATAAATTTTATGAACTTAATATAGATATATTTATATTAATGTTCTTTGTTTAGACGTTTACAATCGAAAAAAGACGACAATAAATTGAAAAAAGAAGAGAAAAAAATCAAAGATGATGAATTTAAATTTTTTCAAGGTAAATTTCATAATAAATATTAATTTTGTAATCATAATTTTCTTCAATTAGACAAACCAAAATTTGGTGAAATAGTTCATGAACCTCCCACATTAACATTACCGAGACGTTCAAAATTGAATAAAGACGCAGTAATGTTGAATTTTATCAATTATTTATTTATTTAATTATTTATTTATATCTTTTGTAGGCTGGCATGAAAGATCTATTATTAAAAGAAAAATTGAAGAATGTAAATTCTTTTAGTGGATCATATCGGAAGAAAGATAACTAAATAAATTTATCGTTGGATTTGTTGTTGTTGAATTATTTCATTTTTTCTAAAAATACGAATATTTGGTTTATTTCCAAGAATATGATCTATATCAGCCATAACTAACGGAGTTAATTTGGAAACGACCTATTTGTAAAACAATAGAAAAGAAAGAAACCAACATTTAAAGCTAAAATAAAAAAGTTTGTATTTGTTTACATGTAAAGAATTTATATTTTCATACAATTGCTCAACACATGATGCACCAAGTAATACACAATTAACAGTTTCATTTCTTAAACACCATGCTACAAGAAAAATTACAATATGAAAATCATCCTTTCGCTATTATTCTAAATTTTGATAATGAACAATCTTAAAACGACAATTATTTGTTGTCAAATGAAAATTTCTACATATATTTTATGTGTGAAAAAGATTTATTCTTACCAATAGCTAATTGAGCAAGTGTGCAATCAAGTTTCGATGCTAAAATAGCTAGTTCTCTTAGCTTATCTTGTTGTTTTCGACCTTCCTCGTTTAAGACTTTTTCTTTTAACCATCCATAGCCCTATCATTTCGTGAAAGAAAAGAAAAAGAAATCTAGATTTGTACATGATTTCATCTTACTTTAATTGCTGCTCTTGAATGTAATGGTACTCCGTCTTCATATTTTCCTGTCAATAATCCACAAGCTAATGGTGACCAGGTCATAGTGCCAAGACCTAAAATAATGTATATTGATTTTTCTCTTTCTATGTTTTGTCTCAAATCAAACCTATTTTTTTAAAAATATCTGGTAAAAATGTTTCAACCTTTTCACGTTGGAATAAGTTATATTCAGTTTGTTCACATATAGGTGGAATTAAATTAAATTGCCGAGCAATTGAATATGCTTCCTTGATATGATAGAAAAATGTTTATTTAAATAAAAACAAATGTAGCTCGATTCTTTTTTCTCCTTCTTACCATTATTTCCATTGGTGACCATCGTGATGTGCCCCAATAAAAACAATGATTATCATTAATTACTTGCGTAAATGCACGAACGATTTCTTAGTAAATAAAAGAATCTTTTTCTATTAAGCAAATACATTTTGTTTTGATTTATTTACCTTCCATTGGTACTGAACTATCGGGTTTATTAGCAAATACAATATCAACATAATCAAGTTGTAAACGTTCAAGACTTGATCTTAAACCTTCAATAATATGTTTACGTGAAAGACCTTTTTCAGTTTCAGCTCTAGAAAAATCAATTAATTCTATCTTTATTTTTTTCTTTCTGTCTGTTATATTATCTAATTGAAAATATTTACTTTCCACCCCAATATAATTTTGTCGATACAATATAACTTGATCGTTTCCAGGTTTTCTTTTTTAAAATTTTTCCAAGGGTTATTTCCGCTCTAATTATATACGATGAAAAATACAGGGAAATTCTTAATTCTCAAAGAAAAACATCTTACTTTCCGGCTGCATAGACTTCAGCTGTATCAAATAGGTTTATTCCATTTTCATAAGCAATAGTAACTAATTCTTCAGCAACATCGTCTGTTACTTGTCCACCAAACGTTACCCATGTGCCAAGGCCTAACTGAGATACTCGTAAACCATTACGTCCCACATTTCTATATAGAATAGGATGATAATTATGAGATTTCATGAATGTTTTATTTTTGTGTTAACGAATTAATAATTGAATGTGAACAAGTTGATAGAATCTTATCCTGATTTGGATCTAGCAGAATACTTGAATAGCGTCAATAATTTATTAATGATAATAAAAATTGAATATATTTGTTTGTAACAAGAAATAATTTATACTGATCTTGTTGATGAAATCAGAGAGAAAAGAATACGATAAAAACGACTATAATAAATACTTTATTATCATATTAACGGGAAAATGCATCATATGATGATATGCGTACATGATATGTTCTTTGAGAAAACCTAATGTCGTGACATAATAGCAATTCTATCTCTTCTTGTTTTCTGCTTGTCAATCAAGACATTCGCCAAAGTTATAATGAATATAGATAAACTAGAAGCCAGCCAAGATTTCGCTTAATTAGTAATATATAAAATATTATTAAAAAAGATTCGATTATTACAAAGAAGAGATCATAATCCTACGAAGTTCTCTTTTCTATCGCCGTATGCATATTTAGGTAAAATTATCGTTTAATTTATTTAATGATTATTTTTAGCTTTCCTTTTATTATTCAAAATTTTTTTTCCGTAGACTTCGATCATATTCTTCTACTAGAGAATAAAACAAAACAAAAATTATTAACTTACTTGTAGACCATTGGCATTGATTTTTTTACTCCTGACATTATTTTTATCACCATAAATCAACATGATAAATACAATAACGTAAAATTAGACTGACGGACATCGAATAAAAAAAGCGTTAACTATGCGCAAAACAATGAATATTAACTGGAGACGACAAGTTGACTATGGAAATACCAAAAGAAAACATAAATGTGCACGCACGAATATATATATATGGAAGAAAAAGAAAATGTGAAGAAACACCACTACTACGATGCCTAACAAATAATTTATTCCTTTCTTTGACTTAGTTGTCTTTCTCACTCTCCCTCTTTTTTCCCTTTTGTGTCGACAACAGAACGTTTTGTCGATGGCACGACAACAACGATAAAAAACGGATGATTGTCTTGTTGGGAAAGTCTTTTCTGTAGTAAAATCGAATGCCTGTATGTGCACGCATAGTACTAAACCGATTATAAAAGCCAAGCACAAAACGAGATTTTTCTATTGTTTGAATAACTCACGAATCGAATATCAATGTAGATGTAGAATGAAGATATATTCATTAGTGGCAAAAAACAATGGTGAAGTATTATCAGATTGTTTTGCCTTGTCTAAACATTTTCATATTTAACAGTGCAATTTGAATACATGAAAATTATATTGAATTTCAATTTATTGAAACTAGTTGATTTATTGATTGTAATCAACAAGACTTCTCCTAAAATATCTCGAATTCTTTGAATAATTCGAACAATAGAACAAAATAAAAAGTATTTTATATTCAATAAATAGACACTATATTTTCTACTTTTATCATTGATTTAAGTCAACTGACATTTATATTACAGACGAAAATAAGTTCACAAAGAAAAAATACAAGAATATTGTTTTGATTTATAAATATATCCTCATTTCAACAATCTTTTCTTTATTGAATTTATAATTTCCTATTGATTTGACTAGATAACACTAGAAATGAACTCAGTTTAAGTGACTATCATCATATAGTCAATATATTATTATAAATGGTTGTTACTATTATGATATTTTGCTAATATTGATTAATGTATTGACTTCATTATTCATGTCAAGAAAGAAAATGTTGTGACGATTTTTTCTAGAGTAATTAATAAATCCGTTAGTCGATTTAGTTAAAACGTTTGTTAACTAGATTCTACTTCATATTCTTTTGTCGAAATTAATTACAAGAGCATGAACAATGGGAAATAAACAACAATAGTGAAAAACCAAGAGAATTTCTATGGATAAATATAGCGTGCTATAAACTATTCATGAATACAATCAAAAAGACAATATTTATTAGCTTTATTGTAACAAAATAATAAGCGCTCAAATAAAAATGTCAATCGATTGGATCAATCTTTTTTATATATTCGCAATCTTTAAAGAATGATTACCAACACAGTTAGATTGAAATAGACCGGTACCATGATATAAGAATATAATTATTGAGTTGTATTCCCTTTTCGTAATTTCTCTATTCTGATATTAACACGAACATTATGTACTATGGTAATAGGCATTGCTGTTAAAATGTTTATTTTTAACATGATCACTGTGCAAATATTGGTAAATTCTATTGAAAAAGAGTACTCTGAACATAATTACTTGGAGGGATTTACTTACTAACATAGTCAATATTTGTTTTCAACAATGTTCCACGAGCGGAAGGGACGCAAGGTATGCTGATGTCATTCCAAAATTTCTCATCGAAGAATTTCATAAATTTTCATGGAAATAATTATATAAAATTGTCAACAACAATCGTCTTTAACGTATCAATTTTAGTGTTGACCAATATCAATTATGTAGTTGTATAAACCATTTTTTCTAGCTAGGATGAGAATGTCACGTGTACATAGTTCTGCTTTGCTTAATGAAATTGCCTTTCAGAATTCGACTGAAATGATTGAGAAACAGAAGAACACCATGCAGCGGATGCGAATTTAATAGGAAAGACGATCATTATTCATACCCATTGATGACGATTTTGCAATCAACTATTTTCATGCATTTGCTAATTCAAGAACCTTCAATGTCATCTTTGATGATAGTCTAATAATTGCGATTAATTAAGCGTTTGGCTTCTGGTATCATTGACAGCACCAGTAACATAAGCTTCATTCAAATTTAATGGTAAGCTTTTAGTGCAGTACGAGATTGACTTAAAAGAACCAAAAGTCTTCATATAACATAAATATTTTGCCTTAAACAATAACAAAATAATTCAGGCATAATAAAACTATCAACAATGGGCAAAGCATTTGATGGATGATCTACTTGAATCTTTTGCCTCTATCAAATAGAATCTCCAAAACGTGTAGGTTCATATTATAAAAGAACCAATTGTTGGAAATTGGTTCTACAAGCTTTGCATGACATAGCCTCGGCGTGTCAATTACTACGATCATAAGTACGTCTCAACGAACAGGGCACTATCCCCCTTGAGATATATATATAACTCTACACATGTCACATTTTTTTATCGAGTGTTCAGTAATTTTGATGTTTTAACTAACTTATATCTGACATTAGAACCAGTAAATTTATGCAAGATTCTTGACACATTGTACTCATGTCGAAAGAATTTTAGCATGCACGTGCCTAATTCTTTGCTATTCGTATATTCTAAACAGTAGATTTCCAATCGTTCGATAAAAAAAGACTGTTTTTAGTAAAGAAAAGCTAATGGTAATTTCATCAGTTAAATCAAATGTTTGCGATGAAATGGGAGCGAAGATCTATCGGTGTACTTATTCGTTGGAAATTTTTTGCAAGTGTTAATAAAATTTATAAAGAAAAATCGCTTTAAGATAAATACTTGCTTGATGAAGTTTAGTTGATATTCTTTAATTGTTGCAGTCTTGTACTTAGATTTGTTTTTAATATGTATGTTAATTGTGTCCATTAAATAAAACATTCTTTTATTAGTATAGCTATATTTATGATATTCGCATACTTCGATTATTTTATCTGCAAAAAGAAGGAAAGACTTGAGATTGAAAAAGTCCTGATTTTCCACTGTACTTATTATGTTATGCCATTTTTTTGTTTCAAATAAAACATATGCCATGCATCTATTGATTCATGAAGATGATAGAAACCAATAGAGTAATTCAGAATCAGCTATATTAGTGGTATTTCTATTCTATAAAAAGAATTAATATCATATTGTTCAAATAACTTTACAAGTATTGAAAGTTATTATATCACGTTTTCATCTATGCACTGTTGAATAATCAATGAAGCTAATTAATCATCTAATAGTAATGATAAGCAGTTATGAAAGTATCTTCGATCAAACAAGTACTACTGATGCATTATTTATGTATGCAAAACAGCAAAATACTATCATGTGCGGTGAGCTCCAAAATTATTTTAAATTTTGTATCTTTTTTCTAGGATATTCCACCTCTGTTAATTTGAGTCCGTACGTATTATTACTTATTGTTGTATTATTCTACGACGTAGTTGTTTGTTCGATTGAAACCATATGGTAACGATGTTAGAGACCGATACACATAAAATTCCTCTGCTCAACACTATGCATTCAGTGTAAAGCAAAAACAATAGCCCCCACGTTGTACCGTATTTGTTTTTGAATACGTATTACCGGGTGATCCAAAAGTTTTGAAAAATTTTTGCTTTTACATGTATCTCAGTTCAGATAACAGAGAAAATGTCAACTTTAACTTTAAAAGAAGCGCGCGCGATTCAATCCTCTACAAACTTTGTATCCACCTTAATTTAAAATAATAGAACTGAACGTTTTTATGGATAGAATAGTGTGACTACATAAATTGCATCTACTTCCCATACTGTATTTTTAACAAATTATTTGTTCTATCGAAACGGATATATCGTGTTAAAAAATAAGACATTGTTAGATAACTCTTGAAAGGATATGTGGATTTAACATTCATACGTTCGATTAGACACAATTTTTCGGAAAGCAATATTTTGAAATATGATGAAATTTTCTCTCTTGATTCTTGCTTTTCAGAAAAAGACTTTTAAAAATCATCTATGGTCAAACCGAGTTCATATTCCCAACATTTTATAGAAAAACGATTTATCATTCTGCTTAGAGCTTACACAACAGGTGTCAAAACGATTCAGTTCGAAGAAACGTCTGAACATTTCCAAGAATGCTGCTGTTGCGATAATATTTCAGATCGACAATTTTTATTAGACATAAGTGGATTTAAATCAAACGCAGATAAATAACTCTGAAAGAGCACTGATGTGTGATCATATTGCAAGTATTTTATTTTTAGGTGCCTGCTTATAGCCTGGGAAAATTAGAAAAAGTATAGCTAAAAAATTGTGTGGGTAATGGATGCAGTTTATGTAGTCACACTATTCGATCCCATAAAGACGTTCAGTTCTATTATTTTAAAGTAACGTGAATACAAGTTTATAGAGAATTGAATCGCGCTTCTTTTAGAACTAAAGTTGAAATTTTACCTGTTATCTGAACCGAGATACATGTAAAAGCAAAAATGTTTCAAAACTTTTGGATCACCCGGTATTTATTTTTCTTGGTTATTTAAATACCTTCCTTCATGACTGATCGGCAGAATTATTATCTAATCGCTAACATTTTTGTTGTGTACCTATTTGCTCATATTGCATTAGTACATAATTACTTTATTTAAGGTATCTTATTTATGAAATGACTAACATAAAAAATACAACATTCGTGGTAGTACTCTTCTAAACGATATTTATTATCTCAACGCAATCTAACAGGCAATATTCTATAACCAGATATACATTTGCTCGAATAGTGCACGGTGATGAAAACCAATTTCGCACAGGATTGACTACATTGAAAACAAAAATTATACTTTGACCCAATATGTTTGCTTTTTCAATCCTTTTTTCTCGTTTGTCATGCTTTTCGATGACTAATAGTTTCGAAAAATAAGCGAAAAACAAGTTAATAATAATACGAATCAGCGCATAACGTTAACGTATGACACAGCCCACAAATAAGTTGAATCTAGAAAGAAAAAAGTTTTTCACTCTTTCATGATACTTTCTCTGGGTAATTCGAGATTTTCAGAGCTATGCTTTGCAAAATAATATTTCGTTTTTCTTTCATTTTTTGTTTTAAAATATCCTCAAGCTCTACAATTTTAACAATTATAGAAGTAAAATATAGACAGAGATTCTTTCATACAAGTTTCTTTAACCGCCCTTTGTTTGCTTTAAACAGTCTATGACTAAGTCTAATATTCATCGAAACTGAATGACATATTTTGACAAATCATACTTTTCTGCTTTCGTTGTTTTGAAGATTGAGTCATGATTTCATACCTGCATAAATAGACAGCTACTGGATGGAAAAAAAAAATAAAAAGTACATTCTTTTTCTCTTTATTGCACATTCGGTCTATGGTTTGCCTGGAATGTATAGACAAATATAAACTACTTGCCGAGCGAGCGACCCGAACAAGCATTTGATTCAGAAGAAAATTTTATTAATATAAAAGATGGCATTGCTGACAAAAACTCCAGTGAATAATGCTACAGAAGGTGAAGATGACACGTTTGAAAATGCTCATGGAACTGTTATGATTCTTGCATGGATGGTTTTTGCATCAACAGCTGTTCTATTTGCACGATATGGTCGTAGGTTACGGTTTGGCTCGAATGACGAATTGTTTGGTGAAAAAATATGGTTTCAAGTGCATCGTTTGATCGCTTGCTTGACCACAGTATTAACTCTGTTAGGGTTTTTCTTCATTTTGGTTTTTGCAGCAGGTGGATGGGTAGAATCAGACGAACAGCCTGCATTCCCACATTCAGTTCTTGGTGGTATCATTGTCTGTTGTGCACTTTTACAAGCATGGATGGCACTTTTTCGTTGTCACCCAGACGGCTCCTTTCGTGTCATCTTCAATTGGCTTCATAGATTAACTGGGCTATTGGCTTTTTTTCTTTCGGTACCAACTATATTTCTTATCATTTCACAGCCAGGTGACACTCGGGCTGGCATGATTGTCATTCTTTCACTATGGTCTGTGTGGGTGGTTTTAATTGTTATTGTTTTAGAAATCATTCGATTTCGTATTCAAAGATCAGCGCCAGAAGAAGTGGATGGAAAAGATAGAACTGAATTATATGATATTAATGGACCACCAATGATGAATAGTGACATAAAAGATAATAGTGATGCGTCAGCATGGAATAAACGTATACTAGCTTTGTTTCTGCTGCATTTTATTGTTTCAATTGCTCTCGCTATCCCACTAATTTCTCTCGTCTGGCAATAGAACGGTTCACTAGTTTTCTCCTTTTAGTTGATAGAAGAAAAACAGTGAAAGAGAGACACGTCATAACTTTTTTTTTTGTATTCTATCGACCTTTTATTTTTCGATAATTTGATTAACAGTCAATTCATTTGTAATTATTTTGACAGTTCATGTTATCTTATGCTTGTTAATAAAAATAAAAATCACTATATCATCAACTTCTTTGAATGTTTTACTTTATAAAAATTCAGTCTGCTGTCTCTATAAAGCTGAGTATCACTTGGCATTGATATAGAAGGCGATTATTCTGTAGATTTGTAGTGTATCATGGCATCTCGAACGAAAAATTGCTCTATCAAAAAGCACTTCCACTCTCTGCTTTTGCATAATAGAGCAAGATGAAAAAAAGAACATGAAAAAGCATACAATCGAATTTTGGATTAGAACATATTCAAAGGTTCGTGATTAAATGTACTTTTTAATTGCTGTTTACATCGAATTTTCTTCATAAATACATCATAACACATAAATGTTGAAACTCTTTGACTCACTGAAAAAGATGATTGATGAAAACATGATGTACTTGAGACGCGTAACCAAGTTCTAATAAGAGCAGTTTATCGTATGTTGGTTTCATACAACGAAGATCGATAAAATTTATAATCGAATAATAGCATGGAATTGTCGACTACATAATTTTGATTTTCTTTTACTATAGAAAAAAATATTTAAATCGAACATTTATTCAAAGTAGTAGCTGAGACTGAATTATTAATACAGTAATAACGAAGGAAGTTTTATTCATTTTCCTTGATCGCAATGGCAAGATATATGTGTGACTGATATTTGACAAGGGCACGAATCATTTATTTCCGATTATAACTATATCTGTACAAGCATACTTCAATATCAGTCGAGCAATATTAATTTATGAGTAAGAGAATTTTTGCTCATTAATTTCAACACAAAAATTATTTATGCAGAAAAAGAAAACTATAGATCTATTGAATGCTGCGATACTATTTTATTACAGCTTCGGGCTTCTTGCGTCTCGATTAACATTTAACGAGAATTTGAGGGAGAAGACATCGGCAGAAACTCATTTTCCAGTATATGATTCACATCTTTACTTGCTATTCATGCATATTTTTGCAATCTGTAAAGCTTCTATAGTTTGAGATGAGTACAAAGCGATAATAGGCAATTAAATGAAAAAATATTTTCATTCATGCTGGTAAATAAAAAGACAAATATTGAAGCATCAAAAGAACGATGAAATCAAAAGTTTTCAGTCGGTTAATGTAATATTAATAGTCATCATCTACGAATACATATTTTTTACAAGAAACCTAAATATTCGTGTGGAAAGCTTTAAGAATTGAAAACTTTTCGAATGAATTCTTCAAAACTATCATTTTTATATCAATACTACAAATAAAAGATTTTATTCAGAAGAGCATATTTTTCTTAAATTTACAATTATATAATTAAATATGAACGAAAAAATTATTTTTCTAAAAAGTGGTTACATACACTGCACTTTTACTTTTTTCATTAATGCTAATAACTAGAGCAGTTTCATAGCGGAAATAGTAACCCGCATATCAACATTAATAGGTTTACCTGTAAGAACTCTAAGAAGAAAAGACTCACGTAATAGAATCAGTTTTATGGATTCCAGCAAAAATGCTTCTTAAAGAAAGAATCTATTAGTTGTATGACAACTCACAACTCAAATCAATGATAACTAGCTCATTTTTTATGAGAATGATTTACTCAACAGGTCTTTTCCAGTGAGTGAGATCTATTGATTAACTCAGTTCCAAGAATTGAAGATGACGAGACCTATTACCTTCCCCCTAGTCTCGGTAATCCAATGATGATAACTGAACTATTCAAATAGATCAGCTCGGATTAGATTAGGTTTCAAATAGTTTGTCCCATCGGAAACTGTCGCAGAAGTCTTGTATTCCTACCTTTGGTTGATGTTAAACTAGCAGAAAATGATTATCTAGCTCAATGACTTGACAGCGTGCTATCGCGTGCCAAGTATTATCTATTCAATAAAAACCTCTGGGAAAATGAATGTACACCTGAACTTCCCATGGCTTCTCTTCAGTGAGCTCAAAGGTAGATATATATGAATAAGAATTTAGGCGATGGTGCTGATTACAATTTTGCTATCTAACTTGTATGTTCGCAACCTGAAACATTTGCAATATATGCTGTTTAACTTGGATATGAAGCTTTCAAAAATATCCTTTCAAAATTTTAGTATAGGTACTCAAAGATATAAATTCGCTATATGTACTTTAAGATGTGTCATAGTACTTTCAGTAAAACTCGAGATATTGTACATCACTCGAATATTAAATCTTATTAAGTAAGAAATATACCATAGAAATAAAATCTTTTACGTTTAAAAATTTTGCTATTCTGAATATCCTGGAATGTTTGCAGATGTCTTGAAGTATTTAAAAGATATGAAAACAAGTAAAAATACTAGAATTATGAATCATAATATTCAAGCAGTGTCTGTTTATAACTTCATGACACAAAATATCTTCAGAAGCATTTTTATCATTTTAAAAATCCACGGTAAAGTAAAATAAACTTTCTCGATTTATATCATTTATTTATCTGAAAATTCAGTGTTCAATGATGTATAAAAGTAAGTTTTGCAATTGTCTAGTTTCGGCTTATTGTTGTAGATCTTCAAAATCATGATGAACATGAAGCCACTCCTGACTGTATTTTGAATATTATTGAAAATTTTATTTCAACATAATCCTACAAAATAATTCATCATTTGGAATGCGTGGTTGCACATGAGTCTTTACTTCAGTTTATCCACATTCCTCTAAATCCATGTCATTGATAAGAATCAAGAAATTTTTTTAATGTAGATGTTTTCAACGTCTCACTTAGCAAATAAATACAGACAGTACATTGATTTGGTGTCATAACAAACCGTTTTCGTGCAAGAAGTAGGGGTGTGGGTGTTCTTATCTCTCTTCACACCCACACCCACACCCCACCCAAGATATTTTTAAACTAACTTTTTTCTTATCACTTATCGTCATTCCCATCTCATATATACTCTTTTAATTAACTGATAAATACTTAACAATTATAGATTATGTTCAAATTAATTTGACAAGTCGATAAATGCATTGATAGTCATTTGTTAAAAGTGATAATATATTGAATTAATAGAGAGCACATTTTTTAATTCAGATATTTAACTGATTTAAAAGATGTTTAATTACAAAATTAGATTAAACAATTTTTTAAGGCATCTTTTCACCAGAATAGATACTACTGTATTAAGTTAGGCAATATTGATATAATTTAGATATCGATTGCTATATTTTTTGATATTTCATGAAGTGCATGCCTAGAAAAGGTAGCTTGTTTTTATAATTCCGAGCAATTCTCTTGCTACTTTTTCAAATATTAGGATTATTTGGTTTGATACAATTCATGATCATTCTGATAGTAAGGTATTTAATATTTCCTAATAAATGACCGTGTCATTCTATTAAGATGATATTTTTTTATAAAACAAATAGACTTTTAAAATTGTGTCCATCTAAATTGCATTTCATTAGCCAATAGCCAGACTTCAAGATTTGATATATAAATGAAGCAACAATTAAAAGAAAATCTAACACTATTATGCCATAATTTCTAATACAATGGAAATATTTTATTGGATAAATTTCCATTGCTTAGAGAATATTTCAGAATTGGAGAAAAATAGCCAATATTAAAAAAACGATCATTTCTAATTACTCATGAAAATGCAATCAATTTAAAATAATGGTCAGGTTTCAAAAGTCGTGGCAGTTCTAGTACGTACAACGATTGAATTCTATCAGTTTAACTGATTTCAAATAATTTTCTAAAAAAGCCAGTTTTTTTTGATAAATCGAGAAGGTAGTACAAGTACGTTTTACTGTTTTTATCCGAACAACAAAATCATCCGTTTTCGTTTTCACTTTAATATTCTTCTTATCTTTAAAATGTCTATTTTTCTCTAATTTCATTGCTCGCATGCCTTGTTTGGAAAACGATAGAAAAACAATCATAAAGTCTTGAAACACCCGCAGTCATTTTTATTTGAATATTTTGTATCTGAGCTCGAAAAATTACTTTTTAATTTCACCTTGTGATGATTATCGAGTCAGCTATGAGGACTTGTGAAGCGTAACTGAAGAGATGAAGATGAAGAATTATTTGTTAGATTTTTGTAAGAACTGATATTGTTCTGGAGTTCACTCTGTTTTTTTTATGAGTAATGTTCATTTGAAAAGAATAGCAGATCAAAATTTCCAATAACTTTCCAGTAGTCAAAATAAATTCATAACCATGAGAACTCTGTTAAATTTATCAGCTTATTCTTTAAAAGGGATACCAATTGAATGTTTAAACATATCTATGGTTCATAACCCATAAACAGTTGTTGAAACATTTACTAGCCAATAACTCTTTCTGATAACGTTATTTTTATCATCCAGAATCTTGAAAATGAAAAAGTTAATGATGAATTCCATGATTTTTTTAGATAAGATTTTTTCATTGTGTCATTGGAAGATTTGAAATAATATGGTATTAAATCTATCTCAATAGTTACATTAGCGTTCGAACGAGTATTTTTTGATGCTGCATCTTCAATACCAGTGTGTCATGAATAATTGATGATAAAAATATGTATATGTCGAGAAAATAAAAAAAGAAGAAAATATAGTTAACTTATCAATTAATGAAACTTTTTAATAAAGTCAAAGTAGTCGTAGTCAAATATATGACTACGAGAACGTTATTCGTGTCTAAAACAGATTTTGAAAAAACAATATCAATTGAACATTGAATTATGTATATGATTCATAATTTGTAATCAGGTTTTTTTTATAGCTGTTCCACACATTAATATAGAGAAAATGGCGCCTAATTTTTCGTTTTATTATTTCGAATTAAAAAAGCAATATAAATTCCTTTTAAAACCGTCATTTTGGAAC